AGCAAAACCGAACTGAAGTACGCAATTCAATACCATTATTATACTATCTTGATATTAAAACGTGTTCATTATATATCTGGACTTGCGTTCGTAATATATTTCATCATTTTTATTCAAAATTTCATTTAATATTGTTTTCATTAAGTTAGGTGAAATCGAGTGTGAAGAGATACAGCAACCACGGTCAGATTACCGCTTTTGACGCATTGAAACGAACTTTAGTTGCTACAGAATGGATACATATATTACAAATACCATACTTTGATTCGTCAAAAGTCATATTTGTGGCAATTTGGCCAATATATGTCAACATAACGTTTTCGCAATCGAAATACATGTAGCGCGGGAAGTCCCTACGTTGACTGGTCAAATTGTTCCATACCTAAAAATATCCTGCAACAGCAATACCAGTATTAAAATGCTACGCTTGTGGTTCTTATAATTATATATATATATATATATATACTATATATATATAGTAAAAGCTGCAACTAAAGTAACACGATATTGGAATATATTATTCCTGATAAAACAATAATTTCAGATCCAATTTCTTCGACTATTGCATCAAAATTCATTGAAGTTGTATCACTGGTGAAGTACATTAATTATTTTCTGGTGTTTGAACTTTGAATTGTTTTGAGGGAAAGTTAGAGAAAGTTCCACTTCGAAGCTTAACAACTTCAGTAGTCTTGTTATTATAGAATAATTTTGACTGTTCCAAAATCATGAAAGGTTCAATCTTGACATGCTTTAAGTCTTGTTTTTTATCCTTGAGTATCGAGTATCGTATCGTGACCAGAATATCGAGATGCGTATCGTATCGTGACCTTCCTGTATCGCTGCAGCCCTAGTCTGTTTAAATGCAAACGTGGTGTAACTCGTGAATACAAACATACGTGTATACGTACACATAAATAATAACACATGCTTGGTATAATTCGTGTATCAGCATATAGGTGGCGTAGCTCGTGTAACAATACATACGTGGTGTAACTCGTGTATACATACATACGTGGTGTCACTTGTGTATGACGTGTATAAACACATGCTTGGCATAACTCGTGTATCAGTACATATATGGTGTAACTCGTGTATACATACATACGTGGTGTCACTTGTGTATGACGTGTATAAACACATGCTTGGCATAACTCGTGTATCAGTACGTATATGGTGTAACTCGTGTAACAATACATACGTGGTGTCACTTGTGTATGACGTGTATAAACACATGCTTGGCATAACTCGTGTATCAGGACATACGTGGTGTAACTCGTGTATACATACATACGTGGTGTCACTTGTGTATGACGTGTATAAACACATGCTTGGTATAACTCGTGTATCAGGACATACGTGGTGTAACTCGTGTATACATACATACGTGGTGTCACTTGTGTATGACGTGTATTAACGCATACTTGGTGTAAAGTTCCTATTTGATGTTGTAAATTTAACTGTAATTATTAAACCGGTTTTAAAAAAAGACACTTCTAAGTGTTCTCCGAGAATTTATTCTGTGTTGAAAAACAGTATTTTTTCCGCTTTTTATCGTACACCGATAAAAGTACTGTGCGACGTTTTTTGTTTTTATTTAGAAGCTTTGCGGAAACTGTGAGCGAACAAAATACTGTCTATTATCTGAACGACATAACTACATATCAAATGATGTTATATATGCGTTTGTATGACGACAAACATTCAATTCCAAAAATAGCATGCCGTAAATGACGAAAACTGATTTTTCTCTATGACGTCAAAAGGCGACAGAGAGGTTACACACATACAAAGAAAAGGGGGCATAACTCCGCTATGCTTAGCACTAGTATATTGTAACTCACGTCACTTGGGGAGAATTAGCTGTGGATAAGGAAATATATTTTCATGGTGTTTTGTTCTCGAGGAACCAAACTATTCCAACACCAATATCGATATTGAAACTGTTTACATTTAGTAATGATGAAATCGTACTTCATAAAAAAGAGGCAATAGAGAAATGGATCTCCTATCTAACCTATAACTTAATCCTTAGATTCCAACATTCTCCTGAATGTGTAAGTGCAATTTGACTTATGTTGAACCATTATTAATGGAGCACTAGCCTTATCATCAAATGTAATGAAATACCCAAAAAATAACACCATTCTTTTTTACGTCATGGCTTGTTTTATGTCTTTCATAACGTCGGAGAAAGACGACACTGGTATTTTGATTAATATATATCTCCCCTAATTTTCGTTCATGGTAAGGACAATCTCGATATGTAAAACGGAATTTCACGCTTTTTCGACGTAAGATAAAATGACTGCTTTCACCAAGTAAATAATGTCTGAAATATTGAATATAATTTTGGTTGTTTTGAAATATTCTTTTGGGTATTTCATTAAGTAAATTGATGCCAAACAGGTGCGTGTTTAGACCAATTAAGACACACGATAAACTATCAAATTGTTTACATATTCAGTTTACATATATTTGTTCATTATTATGTCAGTATTTCTCTTCATCTCGTCTCAGAATTACACACTAAAAGATGCGAAGAAAGCTCTGTTGGTATAGAATTAACAGGATAATCGAATAAGGTTGAACCAACGGGTACCTGGCATTGGTTTTATATTGATACTTTTTTTACAATTCCTGGAGAAATAAAGTAAACAGTTTATTATCCTGTGATCACAATATTGAAAAAAGAATGAGCCCATTGATTTTATAAAGCAAAACGAGAGGAATATTTCGAAAATTGTTTGTGACTAACGCACACCTGGCGAATCGTTAGATATCACTGTTCTGTGTATCAAACGACATAAAAAAAACAATTCCAAGACCAAAACAATTCTTTCAGAAATGTGTGCATATATTTTACCAATTTGTTTTTATCCATTTTGTTAAAGTAATATAATCAGTTTTAGTTATTAAATAAAATGAAACGGCCATTTATGGTCATTGGTTATATGAACTTATGATATTGACTATTACACATCCCAAGAAATACGTACATATGCTGCAGTTACATTTACACTTCATCTTGTAACACTTAAGAATTGTCCAAAGGAAAGAAATATCGTATTCGACACTATAAACCTCTCAATTCTTAGGTAAACAATGTTCAAACAAACAGGAGATTATCAAAGGTTCGTTCATACATGTTGTGGCCTATATTTACGTATGATATCGTTTTGAACATTGACAAATATCCAAAGTGAAAATAATTGTGAGAAAAAATGTATAAAAGATATGCAAATTCTACATCATAACTGAAACTGTAAACAGCATGATTCAATGATCGTGTGCACTCTCATTCAAGGACCTTCACCTCAAAGAAATTACCAAATATGTACAACATGTTCACTGTCAACAGTACGCGGGATTTTACGAGGGGACTTTCGTTGATTCAGGGATCGTATTTACATAAATGTGACATGTAAGTAATCAGAAACATTCTGACAATATTTGTACTCTTATTTGTTGTTAATATTTTTCATTGAAACCAACGGAAATAGTCAGAAATTCCGATAAATACCGTTGTCGTTGTGCGTGATTTTGCGTCAGTCATGGCGTCACACAGGACGGTAACTTTGACAATTTTTGTTAAAAATATCAAATCATTGCAGTGTATCTATTTTAATTTCGCTAATTTTCCTACAATCCTATTCCCATGCATATTCTGAAAATTTTGAGCCAATATCTTGAACAAATAGAGGAATGGATAGCACAAAATAGGAGAGAATGCTACACTGTGTAAAATCTGAATTTTGCTTTGTTTACATTTCCAACAAGTGCAGTTTTTCGAGCACAGCGTTCGTTTTCACTCCTAACTTTTTTTGCTTGATTTCATCTAGGCACTTTGTATTGTTGACAAAGACCATTGATCATTTCATACTAAAATGTATGAGGAATTCAAGGATGTATGTAGTGCAACTGAATTTGAAATATACGTGATGTTACAGGCTTCTCATAACCGGCGTACGTAAACGTGATTTTGTAAACACTATCCAATATGGCGGAGTTCACTTCGGCGTTCGTGTTTGCGTATTTTCCAAAACATTCGAAACGATTCTGGGGTAATCGGAGACGTTTTGGAATGATCATTAGTGAATTCATAAAAGACAGATACCGGTGATCACTAATATGCAGTTTTTGAAATGCATTTCTCCGAGTAAATATCCGAAATTTTAGATTTTAGAACATGCTGTAAATAACGCCGAGAGTGGTGATTTAGTAATATGTAAACAATGGCGACATTTACGATGTACCTAATTTTCAGAGGTCCTTTTCAGTACTTTTGCTTGGCCTAAAATGCCAGTGGATGATATCACAGAACAGGGAATTTCCCACCTTATTCAAAACTGTAAAGTGTATAAGTGTGGATGATGTATTTTGAATTTTATTCGATTTCAAAGTGAGGGTTGTAGAGGAGGGACATATATATATGTCCCTGTGGCATCCAGGGGGTTACTCAAATCCGTGAAGACTTGGAAGAAACATGAAGATTCCGGGGTAGAATAGGTCTTCAGCAACCCATACTTGCCGTAAAAGGCGACTATGCTTGTCGTAAAAGGCGACTAACGGGATCGGGTGGTCAGTCTCGCTGACTTGGTTGATACATGTCATCGATCCCAATTGCGTGGATCGATGCTCATGATGTCAATCACTGGATTGTCTGGTCCAGACTCGATTATTTTACAGACCGCCGTCATATATAGCTGGAATATTGCTGAGTGCGGCGTAAACAACAAACAAACAAACAAACAAATGGAAGAAACAACGGTCAGAAAAAGTGGATCGAAATTCAACCAATGAGAAGCTTGGATTTTCGGCCAATCAGAGGCCAAAACAGTGAGTGTGCTTTCTGTCCCATTGAAAATGCATTTTACTATTGAAAAGAAACACAACGTCTGTGCCAAACTGGGTTGAGTGTGGGACAGAAACCAACCAATGAGAAGCTTGGTTTCTTAACCAATGAAAAGCCTGGGTTTTCGTCCAATCAGGAAGCAGAGTTTCAGTTCTTTAAATACCACAGACGCTGTCTTGTCATCACTTTTCGGCTGCTGTCCAAGAAGCAAAGTCATGTCCAATCTTATTGACAAGACAAGGATAGTCGAAGCGAAATTGCTGCCACCTGAGTATGCCATCTGGGTGCCCTGCGTGGAACAACTTGTGGCCAACAAAGAAAAGATTGTGGGAAACAGGAAGCGGAAAAAGACTGAACCTTCAACAACAGCAGCAGACAGGAAAACGGAAGTGACAGAAAACCCGGAGAAGAAACCGGCAAAAAGGCGACAACGGAAGTTGTCTCATCAAGAACAACTGTAAGTACCATTCTGTTCTATTGTATGTGTATGCCATTATTATTATCCCCCGCCCAACAAAGTTGGCGGGGCATATAGAAAGGGGCTCCGTCCTTACGTCACGTTTCGTTTCCGGAGCATAACTCAGAAACCGTTTCGATATCTTTTCATGAAACTTTGCAGGTTTGTCAGGTACATGCTGAAGTGGTGCCTTTTGCTATTTAGAAATTTTAGAATTTTTTATTTTTTTACGTTTCGATGGCAACAAGATGGACTTGGGTTCTGTGAGGGTAGGGCTCGTTTCCGGAGCATATATCATAAACCGTTCAATATTTTTTCATGAAACTTTGCAGGTTTGTCAGGTACATGCTGAACTGATGCCTATTGCTAATTAGAAATTTTAGAATTTTTTTTTTTTTTACGTTTCGATGGCAACAAGATGGACTTGGGTTCTGTGAGGGTAGGGTTCGTTTCCGGAGCATATATCATAAACAGTTCAATATTTTTTCATGAAACTTTGCAGGTTTGTCAGGTACATGCTGAACTGATGCCTATTGCTATTTAGAATGTTTAGAAATTTTTATTTTTTACGTTTCCATGGCAACAAGATGGAATTAGGTTCCAAACTTTTTTTTTACTTTCTTACAAAACTTTGCATGGCACCAAGGTGGATTTAAGTTTTAATATAGGGTGGGTTTACTTATGGAGTAAAACAAATAAACTGTCAAATGTTTCTTTGCCAAACATTCAGAAAAATGATTGCATGTCTATATATAAAGCACATACTGAACTGGTGCCATTTGATATTAAGGAGTTTTAGAAATGTTTATTTTAGAATTTCCATTGCAGCTATTTTGACATGGGCTAAGAGAAATGTTGGGTAAGTACCTGGTTTGGGACCATAACGTGTTAAAATGGGCGGGTAATATGGATGACTTCGTGACTAAAAGCTTGTTTAGTTATTGTTTCTTGTAATTTGTCATTTGTTTGCAAAAAAAAAAACACAGAATACAGAATTGCACATTTACTTGTGGTTACTTTACAGACAGCTGCCTGGGGGATATGCCATCTTTCTGATGACTCTTAAAAAAGGTTGGTATTTGTTTAGATTGTCATAAATTCTGCAACAGGGGCGGGGGATATAGCCACGTTAGTGGCACACTCTTCTTGTTGTTGTTGTTATTATTATTACGAATGCATGAATTATTATCATCGGTATACTTTTCTTTTTCTTGTATGATTGACAGGACACCCATCATTCCTTCCCCCGATGTCAGGTCAACACAGTCAGTGGTGGAAACCAACATATTCACCTAACCCACCTGTGATTATGATCAGTGATAATGATGATGAAGCACGCAAGTTGGCAGCACTACCTCCCATGGAAGTGGACGCACCCACCCTGCTTGATGTTGTGCCACCACCATCACCGATTGATACCTTCCATGGCGGCTATCTCCACTACCAGTGGTCATGTGATGTGCCCTGTCTGTTTCAGGGATTTGAATGGATATACATGGCCATTAACATGGTCAGAACTGTTTGGAATTAAAGATTGAAGGTTTCACGTTCTTTGAGGGACATGTTAAGCACTCCTTCCTAAGTTGTCCATTGATTCGTATTTCCTATGTATATATGTTGTTGTTGTTTTTCATTAAACAGTGATTAATTAAACTGACTCTTTGTCTCTTGACTTATCTCAACTCCAATAGGGTGTCAAACCGAGGGTGGAGGCTGAGTTGAGATGTAAATGCTCTGTCATGTCTGTGCTCGTGCTAGTTGAACATGTTTGAGGTTTCTTTCTTTGCAAAACACTACTTTAATTTGACAACAACAAAAAAGATAAGAGGAAGGTCATGCTTGAAGGTATCAGTCACCAAGAACACGTGATGAAGATGTCATGACCTCACCTATGCCACCCTTGTACTATGTTAATTGTGAAAGTATCAGTTGCCCTTGTGTCAAGTCACCAAGAACACACGTCACGTCAGGTCAGGACCTCACCTTTGACCCTACCCCCTTCCACTATGTTAATTGCTGGGCCAACAGGGCCAGGAAAAAATTCCTTTGTAAAATCATGTATGGGGCACATGCATCGCCCTGAGGTGTTTGATAAATCACAACATTTGCACAGTGAATGGCAACCACTCCTTGAGTTGGAAGAGATGGCAGACCCTTAGGTGTCACACTTGAGTTTGTGCATAGTACACTCTTAAAAAAAAGAAACGCAAAGTTAAATTTTATTAAGCGGATGTAAAAGTATCTACACAGAATATGCGTGAACACAATCGAATGAAATTAGACACAGTGATCGACAAAAGCATTGTCATTGTCAGCATTAATTCAGTTCAGTCATTGCACATGTGTAGCCACAAGGGGGCGTCATGGTCAGTACCTGGTCACACCACCTCTTGCAGCCGTCACTGCTCGACAACTCCTTGGCACAGATTGCAGAATCTTTCGCCATTCCTCCTGTAAGGCGTTGGCGAGTTGTGCCAATGTGTGGTGACGTTGATGGACGCGTTGATCAAGTTCGTCCCACGAATGTTCAATTGGGTTGAGATCAAGCGATTTGGACGGCCATGGAAGGACATTGATGTTCTCATTAACAAGGAAATTAACTGTTGCACGTGCTGTGTGGGGCCGAGCGTTGTCATGTTGGAACAGCTCCCTCTGGCAGTCCGAAGTTGGGAGGAGGTGAGGACGCAGAATTTGGTGTCTATGTATCGGTTTGCTGTAAGATTGCCCTGGACAACCACTAACTGTGATCTACCCGTGTAGGATATGGCTCCCCACACCATGACACTCCCTCCACCACATCGGTCCACCTGTCGAACGCAGTTCGGCGCAAAACGTTCATGTCGACGTCGGTATACACGTTGTCTTCCATCCCGTCGTTGAAGAAACCAAACGCGTCGCCAGTTCCTGAGATCCCATGCCTGTACTCTGTTGCACCACCGGACACGTCGTTGACGGTGTAGACGTCGCAAGACAGATCCAACTTTTGATCGTCTCGCTCGAATTCCCACTTCCCTCAGACAATTTCTGATGGTTTGGTCGGAAATTCTTCGCATACCAGGCACTTGCCCTGCAGTGTCCGTTGCTGTAGCAAATCGATTCCGAAGGTGATGCAACCGGATGTACCGATCCTGGGCAGGGGTGGTCACTCTTGGTCTTCCACTTCTGGGATGATCTTGAGTCGAATTAGTGCGGGTATATCGATCCTATAGTCGAGATATGGTGCTTTGGTTGACGTTGAAATGTCTTGTAACGGCAGACTGGGACTCCCCTGCTTCCAAACGTCCAATGGCGATATTTCGGTCAGCTGCAGTTAATCTTGGCATTTTTCGATCTCCGTTCACGTCAGGATTTGTAATGAACTGATGAATTTTGTACGGTCTTTTTATAGTCAGTGTCTCTACTCTTGTTTCCAACACTTTGCATGTGCTTTGTGCTGAAAACTTTTTCTGAAAGCAATTTCCTTGCATCCTTTGCATTTTTGCTGATAAACGTTTACAAAAAAACATTTTGAGATGTGTTTGCGTTGAATGCACAACAAACATGACATGATGAACAGGAATCAAACATAAGAATTGTCTTTATGACGATTGCTGGGGAAAACAATCTATTTGGAATTCTCAAAACACCTATGCGTTTCTTTTTTTGAAGAGTGTATGAAAGAAGTTGATAGTGCATTGCCAGAAAAAGGGGTAGACCCTTATTGGCTCGTAGTCATTGATGATTTGCTTTGCGACAATACAAAAGAAGAAGAGTGAAGTGTTGCGATGGTTCACCAAGAAAAATCATCACAAAAACACATCCGTGTTGACTGTTGTATATCACTCAGAACTTGTTTGCCCAATCACCACAACATCGCAGTAACAGCAGCAGAAGTCCACGCGAAAGAAAGTGCCCAAGGGACGCAACTCTGAACTGCGAATCGCGGCGCCTCAGACGACTGGGCCATCCGTGCCCCCGCGATGGCTGTGTGATGGTTTGGGTGGGATACATGGTCGAAAAAGGACATAACTCAACTGGTTGTCATTGATGGCAATCTTAATACCCAGCGTTACGCTGACTTGGTCTTACATTCTTGTAGCGCAACCCCAGGGTTTTGTTAGGATCAAATACAAATGTAGGCATCAAACTAAATATTTATTATTTATTTGTTTGTTGTTTAACGCCACACTCAGCAATATTCCAGCTATATGACGGCGGTCTGTAAATAATCGAGTCTGGACCAGACAATCCATTGATTGATATCATGAGCATCGATCCACGCAATTGGGACACGATGACATGCATCAACCAAGTCAGCGAGCCTGACCATCCGATCCTGTTAGTCGCCTTTTATGGCAAGCATGGTTGCTGAAGACCTATTCTACCCCAGGTCTTCGCGAGTCTCAAACTGAATACCGTAAATGTGAGGCCGCAAAGTGCTCGAATGAACTAGGGGGTGGATGATGTCCAGTATTGGGTCGTCCTAGTGGTGCTATTGGTAACTGCTTGGGAGACTGGGTTTGTAAGTCTATCCATGTTAGAGAAGAGCGATGTATCACTAAAGACACGGGTCAGCGCTTGTTCATCCATTTGTAACCTATCCGCCTCGCGGAACCATGAAAAGAAGTTTATTTTCAAGGAGTTATTGTCCAGAGCACACGGTAACAGAATGTCGTGGAGGCTGCCATCTTAAAATTGTTTCCCACCAAAACTTGAACCTATGAAAATTGGTAATGGTATGCGAAAAGTCAAAACTAAAAGCCGAACAAAATTAATTTGTAGGACCACTATCTTTCATAACAAGAGCGACCATATGGGTGACTCGATGAATGACTTGGTTGTGGCGTGTCATCGTACCCCGACGGCGTGGATAGTTTCACACAATATCAATCCCTGGAAAATACAAAAACATCGTTTGTGGCCAAAGGTGGACATAGGACCATCTGGTTTTCAGACGACGACATGTATATGACGACGGCCTGCAAAAAAAGTGAATCTGGACCAGGCAGATCCAGATTCGCCTTTTTGACAGGCCGCCATCATATACATGTATGATTGAAGATGAAAAATTGCTGAGTGTGGCATTAAACAACACACAGAAACAGTTTTTCTCACACTGCGCTAACACCGGAGGTCTCACTGATATAACTGTCTATTTGTTTGTTTGCCGCACACACCGGTAGTCCACCTATATGATAGTCCCGTAAATAATCGGGTCTGGATCAGGCAAACCAGTGATAAATATTATCAAAAGCGACCCACGTCGAGCCTGGCCACCCAATCCACTGAGTCGTGCATACAAGTATGGGCCCGAAATCTCCACGTGGCTCAAATACTGTTGAAAGTTGTGTAAAACCCAACTCACTCATTCGTGTCTCAATGTCACACACAATACTGACAACAACCATGAGACTTTCAATTAAAATGGCCACGTTATTATTTAGTCATAAAAAAATACGTAAGCCTTCAACGGCCATTTGGTTTTTTTATTTTTTTTCTTAAAAATTCAAGATACTAAGTTGAAATTTCAAGATACATAAGTTGAAAATTCAAGATAATAACTCATTTTCTTGAAATTTCAAGATCATTATTTTGACATCTCAGCGTAGTACCTTGAAATTTCAACATAACATCTTGAAATTTTAAGTTTGTATCTTGAATTTTCAAGAAAAGATGAAAAAACAAATGGCCCTAAAATGCTTCCGTATAAATAGCTTACTGATTTGCAAAAATAATATTGAATATTCCAATTTAAATAATTTTATTTAGGCGTTCACGCATGGATGACATCTTTTTATCTTACACGAGTATATATAAAACTTTAAATTAATATCATAACCTGACGGCCAAAAGAAACCTTACCAACGATATTTCTAGGATCAAATATGACCAACACAATTTGAAGCAGCAATAACAATTGTAGTGTAGAAATTCATCATTCAGAACAGTAAAATGCGAATTTACTAATTCAACAACAAAGTCCTTGACCTCCAACAGGGACATTTCTTGACAAGGGGTCAGTCGTCCAGTATTCGATCAACAACATTGGTTACAACTTTAAGGTGACGACGGCCAAGACCGTTCAATACGGGATATGACCTTCATGAGCGGCAATGCATCTTCGAATGCGGCGTCGAACTGAGTAGACAAGCGTCCTCACATCGACTGCAGGTATCCGATTCCATTCCTCACGGAGGGCAACGATCAACGCTTGTCTCGTGAAGGGAGGATGTTTACGTTTCCGAAGACGACGCCTCAGCTGGTCCCAGAGTTGTTCTATGGGTGACAGATCTGGTGATCGAGCTGGCCACGGCAGGACAGTCACGTTGTTGGCGTTGAGGAAGTCTCTAGTAATACGGGCTTTATGGGGTGTGGCGTTATCTTGTTGGAACACCGTCCGTTGTTGACGCTGGGTGAAAGGAACAACCACTGGCCGTAAGATATTTTCAATGTAGCGTTGTGCTGTCAGATTGCCTTCGATGATGACAAGTTCCGTCTTCTCGTCCCCGCAAATGCCGCCGCAGACCATCACACTTCCGCCCCCGTAAGGTTCCACCTCCTGGACACAACAAGGAGCCGTACGTTCACCACGTCGTCGATAAACTCGCGTCCGCCCATCAGGTTTGAAGAGTTGGAACCTGCTCTCGTCACTAAACAGCACTCGCCGCCATTCCCTTTGTTGCCATCGCTGAGTTTGCCTGCACCACTTCAGTCTCGCACGTCGATGTTGACGGGTCAAGGTCATGCCGTTCAAAGGGCGATAAGCCCGGAGACCATTATGTCGTCGTAGTCGTCTGGTCACTGTTAGTCACAGTAAGAAATCTGTTCCTCAGATGAAGTACCCGTAAAAAGCGGCCATCTTGTGGGGTCGTGACCTTTGGTCTGCCACTCCGTGGTCTGTCTGCGGTTCTGCCAGTCTGTCGGAGACGTGCGACCAGTCTGGTAATGGTCATCTTGGAGCAGTTCAAAATCTCCCAAAATCCGCAAAGCACGTGCAAAAAACGACAGAGAACACGAAGGCTGTATTCGTGAGATGTGTTCTTTACTGTTTTTGAACAGGTTGGCATCTTTGTTTCAAGTGTTGGTAATGTTTCTTTTGGCCCTCAGTTTATTAGGTATGATGTATATATTTACGGTACCCCCGATAACATAAACATGTATTATTAACAAATTAACATACATATCCTCTCTGTATTAACCAAAATAAGTGACTGTGAAAACAGATTACAGTCATGTTAGAAGTTTTCTCAAACTGCGTAATGTTATCTCGGCACAGTCACATTTATACAAATGGTTCAGCCCAGGTTCAAAGTTCAGTGTCGGATGACTCAAGCACAGGATATCATTCCCAAAGTATGTTGCATGCATATCTCGTGAATTGTCTCGCTTAACTTCGACGAGGGATGAACCTCAGCCACAGTCACAGAATCCTTGCCAAAACTTAAGTAGGATTTATAAAGACTATTCGTCACGTATATGTTATTGTGTGCTTTGCTTGAGTAGTGGCAGATCATTGGTTTAATGAGAGCAACTTTACTATTGGCAGATTGAAGCATGTGGGCGGTGCTGTCATTCCGTTCAGCCAATAAAAAGCCTCTATCCCATTTACCGCGGGAATTTTGGTCCCCAGTGTGTTATAAACAATATCGCAACTCGGCGGAATACCAGAAAGTTCAGCCCAATGAGTGACAGGCACTCCAAGAGCATAGTAACCTGGAGACACTGTCCCAATGATGGTGGGTAGAATAGTGAACAAATTGTTTCATTTGCCTGTGAACGATGAGAACAGTGGGCGCCTTTCCAGACGATAGCGACACCGCATATAATTCCCTCCGTATACCAGTTGTAATTTCGTGATGTTGTGTAGCCGTGTGCACAAGGTTACCTCAAAACGTATATGTTGTTTGTTGAGGTCTCTAACATCACAACAATATCAAGGTGGTCTGTAAATAATCAAGTATGGACAAAATAAACCAATAATTGATACCATGAATATCGATCCACGGCATTGAGCCACAATTGACACATTGTGACTTTCAGTCATCATTTTTGACAAGTGATGCAATATGTTTTATTTCTGTTCAGAGGCAGACTGTATTATTTGGTTATAAAGTTTATATTCTTAGTATTATAGTGACATTGATCCTGGTGGTCTGATCAATAGTATAGTCCCAGCAGACTAGGAGTCAGTAACATGAAGCTATACGGTAATGCATGATCCAATGACAAGGTTCACCTTGGTCACACCTGTACTAATTATACCCAACAGCCAGTGTGTTCTCTTCTGCTGAATGTAAATAAGATATCCATTTTGGTTAGCCGTAGTTCAGTGACAAGATCAGAGCAGATCACAGAACAGAAGTTGATCAACAGTGAACTGCTTGTTTGTAGTGCTGGCTGAAACAAGGATTGGGTAGTCAGGCTCTGTGGATGGTTTCATGTCATGTTACAGTGGCTATGGCTCTGGTTTGCCTGACTCGGTTACCTACAGTTCCGACCTGAGAAGATCCGGGTTAGAATTAGTCTTCAGCAACCCATGCATGCCGTAAGAGGCGACTAATGAGATTGGGTGTTTAGGCATGCTAGCTGGCTTGGTTGATGCATGTCATCATATCCCAACTGCGTAGATCGATGCTCATGATAGCAATCACCGGATTGTCGGGTCCAAATTTGATTTACAGACTGAAGTCATATAGCTGGAATAATGCTGATGGCGGTGTTAGACAACAAACAAAATGTACAGTTCCCCATGATACTAGTATCATTACTTAAAGATTTCATATTGGCTGCCACATTAAGCTGACATGCGGTGATATAACTGGAATGCTTTAACTTTAACTAAAGTTTAACTCACTCACTCACCCATATATTGGATGTTGGGAAGGAAGTTGCCCAGCAGGAAAGCTTGTATGTAATTGTGAAGCTCAGACCTGATTTGTTTATAGTCTATCATTCCAGGGACCTGTTCCTCAAAGCGATGGTAGCACTACAACTGTCGTGAGCCTATGTTAAAGTATTAGAGTAACAATCATTTTGTTGAATGGGTCCCAGTAATATTGCTGACTGTGCTCTAAAACTTAGTGGGGGCACAGGTGGCCCAGTCGTCTAAGGCGCCACAATTCGCTGTGCAGAGTTGCGTCCCTTGGACACGCCCGAAACCTATGATTGTGGGTTCGAATCCTGGTTCGCCCCAATTATGTTTCTAGGTTTGTCAGCACCATACCCGTGCTCGTGGGTTTCACCGAAGTGGTAAACGTCTGAGACCTGCATCACTTCGGGCTTTCCTCCCACATTAAGCTGACACGCCGTGATATACTTGGAATACTGTTAAAAGCGGCGTTAAACCAAACTCACTCACTCACTAAAACTTAGTAAGCTTCTAATAATACTTGTGAGTATTTCAGGAAGTCAGATGTTTATGGACATGGGAATATTAATCTGAGAATCTGTCAACTCTGAGAGTGTTGGCTGGGCTGGGGATGTTATTTCCTGATGACTCTCTAGTTCTGGCCATTATGCTCTACTGTGGAAATGCAGGTCCTAGTTAGTTTTAGTTAGATCTAGGTAGAAGTTGATGCACAAGTCAATATATTTGATATCAAAAGACATAAGGGTGAGATTATATTCATCATCCAGCATCATTCTTCAACTGTTTCAGTTTGTAAACAGTAATAAACAGTCTCTTAAGTGTACTAAAAACTACTGCTAACCAGTTTCACTAGCTGAGAGATTAGTGATTTCTTTTGATTTGATGTCATGGTAACCGATGGCGCAACAATGGTCTGCAAAGCATTGTGATGCAATTTCATTGAAGTGACATCTAGTAGAGATCACTTGATCTCACCCAAGGGATATCTCTTATGGAGACCAGGTTAAGAGAGAAATACATTTGTTTATGTACAGTGAATCCTTTAAACATATACTTCAGTACTGGCATCCAGAGAATCTTGTAATTTTGCTATTTGAATATTCAGAGCCCTCAATGAAATTTGAGGACTTCAAGGTTGAAAGTCAAATGGTGTAGCAGCCTCGTGTGGTACTAAGTCTGTGAATCTGGAGGATGTTGTTTAAGTCTAGGTAGATACACTAATTAAAGTATAGATGGGGTTCTGTACGGAAGCTTAGGGCCACGGTGAATATTTTTTTGTCTAAGTATCTCTTACGTAGGAGATACTAAGTCCTACGTAGGAGATAGTGATTCTAGGCCATACTAAGCCCTACGTAAGAGATAGTAAGTCCTATGTAGGAGATAGTTATTCTAGGCCATGCTAAGTCCTACGTAGGAGAAAGTAAGTTCTATGTAGAAGAAACTAAGTCCTACGTAGAAGATACTAAGTCCTACGTAGGAGATACTTAGACAAAAAAAAATTCTGGCACTGTCAAAGTAAAACTTTCTGTTTAGGATAAAAACTAGTGGACACTCCACTTCTCATACACCCCAAATATGTTCAAACTATCGGCATAAATATCAGTCAAGCAAAATGTTACATGTGCATATTCATCCACATTTGGTAATATTCTGATACTTGAGACAATTGGATCAGCCATGCAGTGTTTCAGTTATATTGCTCCACTGTCGAACAGTAAAGTGATTAATGTAGAATTATATTTCCTCAGGAAATGGTCTGTGACCTTACAACACAATGGGTGCAGGCACTTTCCTGACTGACACCAGACACCTGGCAGATAGACTGTAGACTGTATACAAGTCATTTTCCTGGTCCTATTCATACTATTGCAACACTTTTGCAACTCTATTGCAATTTTGCTACAAATATTGCAACAGCATTGCAATTAACGTGTGTGGTTTGACGTTGATTAATGAATAATTTGCATACTCGTTCATGCAAGGGGCCGACGTATGGTTCTCAGTAGGAAGTGACAACTTGGAGACGATGGTTTGCGGTATATACAGTTTTACTTTATACATGTCGATATATACATACAAAAGACACTATGTGCCAGGTCAGCACAGTGGTTGTGGACTAGGTGCCCCGGAGCACCAAGCTTAACCCTAGCTAGGCTAAGGGTAAGACCTTTCTTTCTTTTTCTTTCCTGTTTTAATCTCTCTGGACCAAGGCTTATATAGCCAAGGTCACCTGACATTTAGTAAGTAATAAATATAAATGTAAGCAGTAATTCATCAGTGACATACTTGCACATCTCCTTCAGAATGGCAGATGGTCGATGTACACATCGATGAACAAATAGGATTAGCATCTAATAAATAACAGCAATTAAGTGTTTCAAGGCATATAGATGTCATGGCTCCAGGGTAATGAGCCATTGCAATTAAATGTTCTTCAGACAATGGGTGTCGTAAATCAGTCACTATGACACAATACTCCTTATACTATTGCAGTACTATTGAAATAGTTAAACTGCCCAAACTACCAATCCCCATATAGCTTTTTTATAGCCTAATTTTGCATATACAGGCACACACACACACACACACACACACACACACACACACACACACACACACACACACACACACACACACACACACACACACACACACATAGATACACTTGTGAATCAATTTGAATGCTTTATTTTGTCATTCACTTTTCTTTGTTAAAAGAGCAGCTATTCGCCACGAACAGTTTGTCGTTTCTACTGGACTCCTGGAGGTTGCTGGTATGGAGAAAGATGTCGATATTCCCACGTTGAGAACACACAACAGGACACGGAGTCCAGGCCGTACTGTAGTTACTTCATGTGAGTAGACAGGGAGTTATCTAGGCATTTCAGAAACTGATATTTGGCCCTTATTTGAAGCAAATTTTGGTAAAAAAATCCCATATTGAAATTTAATATATCCAAATTTAAGTTTTGACTTATGTCACAAAATAAAAAAATAAAAAGGGTTTAAAACTTGATTTACATTGTTACATTGAATACATGAAAAGGTTTCTCGCCAGGATAAAGCCAATGCATAAAATCTGTATTCGTTGGGGTCATATGGATAATGATACAAATAAGAAAGGTCAGGTAGGTACTACTTTCGGTGTTGACAAACATGGCGTCGTCTTAATCAATTTGAATTTAACATTGTGAATCTGGAGAAACTACTGGGATATTTGTTGTCATTATCAAAACTAATAGTATAAGATCCTGCTACTTCTGCTACATCTCTCTCCCCGACCTGTATTGTCGAATATGGCACTGAATCTTGACAAGGTCTTTGGATCCTTCCAATGTCTGTGCAATTGTTTGCAGTGCTCTCGGGTCGTGTACAAAGATGTTGGCACTCAAGGCTTGTCCAAGTCTATTAGTGCGCCTGACCTTGATGGTGACTTGGCGACCTTGTGCCCCAAGTGTACGTTGACTTCTTCAACAATGGACGATTGGGATTTGGCTCACTTAGACACTACCATTCACTGGACTTTACCTTTGCTTTTGACTCTCCTCTCAGCGACTGAGGACCTTCTATCGTTGTTTGTTCACGCAACTTCTTTTGAAGAGGCTTGTGCTGGTGAAGCATTAGTGTTCACCCAGGACAAGATTACAGTTATCATGGACCTTCTCGCTCGTCACGGGGAATCGGTCACTGCCTCATGACATCATAGTGTGTTCCAGCGCTGTACATGGGGCGATCCATTTAAGACTCATTTAAACAAGCTTCCTTGTCCAGTAACTCGCTCAGTACGGAAACCTATGATTGTGGGTTTGAATCCTGGTTTACCCCAATTATGTTTCTAGGTTTGTCAGCACCATACCCGTGCTCGTTGGTTTCACTGAACTGGTAAACATCTGAGACCTGCTTCACTTCGGGCTTTCCTTTACATAAAGCTGACACACCGTGATATAACTGGAATAATGTTAAAAGCAGCATTAAACCCCAGTCATTCACTCCTTGGAACTCCTCCAACCACACACTGCAACAGTGCCTGATATCCTGTTCCCACACATGCCATATGTACATTGGTTGCAAAAGATCCTGTAGAATATACCAATACCAAGCCTGTAAAACACAACGACTCCAGTTTATCGGTGCCCTTTTCAGCACCCGCCTGGGCAAGATGTTCTTTCCTCCGGATCGATGGTCAAAGATTAACATCTCTTGCCACTAGTACTCAAACAACTGCTCCTCCTACAACAATGGCAACAGATCCTCAGCCTTTTGACTTCACTCTGAGGGGCCTCAGCATATATACAGAAAATATTTTGATAGCAATGCTTACAATAACTTTTGTTAAAGGGCTGTCTTTGTTTTTTACCTGTTGACTACATCCAGGTGAACTACAATGTCGTAGCATTATTGTTTAGAATCCTGGGTCTATCTCTGTTTCTGATGTGGTATTTGAGCACAATCCCATGTTGTTACTCCCATGTTGATACAAACTTAGAACTTGGTGTATTTTCTTCTCTAGGTCTGGTAACTGCAGATTTGGCACATCTTGCTTCAACAGACATGGCCCTTTGGACTATCAAATGAAAACTCAGGTGAGTTATTTGCCAATAGTTTCCTGTAGCTGGTTGTCTCCCAACGGTTCAAGTTTGGTCATAGCTGCAAATATATTTACATGACATATATCTCCAACTGCAGAACTAAGTGTGGTGAATGTTTGTTGTCATAACGTTGACATTTGGTGTCCAGTTTGTTGCCATGTTACTTTCAGGATCTCTCTGATCTGGATACTTCCTCGTCTATTCCGGCCACATCGGAGTCGGACCAATCAATGCTGTCCAATGCAACTCCATCTACTGATGTCACTGAAGCATCATCTGATTTCAGCCAATTAGATGCAGATTTGAGTCGCAGCAGCGAGGAATGTGTAAAACCGAGGCGCAAACCCAAAGAAATATCTTGTGGTGAGAATAATGCCCTGATATCCCCAAAGACTAATGTAGTGAGGGTATTGTCCCTGATATATCCAAAGACTAACAGGGTGAGAGTATCGTCCCTGATATACCCAAAGACTAACAGGGTGAGAGTATTGTCCCTGATATACCCAAAGACTAAAAGGGTGAGAGTATTGTCCCTGATATACCCAAAGACTAACAGGGTGAGAGTATTGTCCCTGATATACCCAAAGACTAAAAGGGTGAGAGTATTGTCCCTGATATACCCAAAGACTAACAGGGTGAGAGTATTGTCCCTGATATACCCAAAGATTAACAGGGTGAGAGTATTGTCCCTGATATACCCAAAGACTAATATGGTGAGAGCATTGTCCCTGATATACCCAAAGACTAAAAGGGTGAGAGTATTGTCCCTGATATACCCAAAGACTGACAGGGTGAGAGTATCGTCCCTGATATACCCAAAGACTAACATGGTGAGAGCATTGTGCCTGATGTACCCAAAGACTAACAGGGTGAGAGTATCGTCCCTGATATACCCAAAGACTAAAAGGGTGAGAGTATTGTGCCTGATATACCCAAAGACTAAAAGGGTGAGAGTATTGTCCCTGATATACCTAAAGACTGACAGGGTGAGAGTATTGTCCCTGATATACCCAAAGACTAACAGGGTGAGAGCATTGTGCCTGATATACCCAAAGACTAACAGGGTGAGAGTATTGTCCCTGATATACCCAAAGACTAACAGGGTGAGAGTATCGTCCCTGATATACCCAAAGACTAACAGTGTGAGAGTATTGTCCCTGATATACCCAAAGACTAACAGGGTGAGAGTATTGTCCCTGATATGCCCAAAGACTAACAGGGTGAGAGTATTGTCCCTGATATACCCAAAGACTAAAAGGGTGAGAGTATTGTCCCTGATATACCCAAAGACTAACAGGGTGAGAGTATCGTCCCTGATATACCCAAAGACTAACATGGTGAGAGTATTGTCCCTGATATACCCAAAGACTAACAGGGTGAGAGCATTGTCCCTGATATACCCAAAGACTAACATGGTGAGAGCATTGTGCCTGATATACCCAAAGACTAACAGGGTGAGAGCATTGTCCCTGATATACCCAAAGACTAACATGGTGAGAGCATTGTGCCTGATATACCCAAAGACTAACAGGGTGAGAGCATTGTGCCTGATATACCCAAAGACTAACAGGGTGAGAGCATTGTGCCTGATTTACCCAAAGACTAACGTGGTGAGAGTATTGTCCTCACAGGGTTAATGTGGCATTAGTTTTGCTGCCCTCATGGTTCATTGTCACCTCCCCTTACTCCTTGTTTGTTTGTTCAGGGCAGTGCAGTCTCTACTATGAGGGCTCTGATGCCTACGACAACCTGAAGCAGCACTACATGGAGAACTTGAGTCGTATGGATGGCAGACACACATCATTCCTCGCCAAGGGCATTTTTCGTAGATTTGCCGTCTGCACAGAATGTGATCGCCATTTCAAAAATGCTCATGCCTTTCTCCAGCATATTGTTGCCAAAGCCAAGATCACAGGTTCTGCACAGAAGGAACATTCCAATGACTTGGATTGTGTGGCCCAGATGTTCGTGGGTAAGATATGTCTTTTGTCCAAGTTTGTCATGTTGTGGACATTCCCAAGGGAGAATAGGTTGGGGCAATGATGAGAATGAGGTGGTGACAATGTGTGACTGATGTAGTCTTGTGGTTAAAGTGTTTGCTTGTCACAACGTAGACCCAGGTTCAAATCCTCACATGGGCAAAATGTGTGAAGCCCATTTCTTGGGTCCCCTGCCATGATATTGCTGGAATAATGCGAAGAGCGTCGTAAAACCATTCTCACTCACTCACTATAATGCTCAGTGAGAAGTTCTGACAATGATTTCACCAATGTCCATGGCCCAGGGGGAACTAATGGCTTGTATTTATCCAGATCGCGACGCTGGCAATGACACAGAGAAGGACTTCACCCAGTTTATGTGTGACTACCTGACTGCGGAGGGAGCAGACTCCACGGAGGGGGAGGTGGATCTGGAAGATGAAGATATGAAGTACCTGGGGTGAGTTACCTCCCTTCAATCTGCACATCCTTTTAATTTAGTCCTGAAAGAGGACGTATCAAGAAAATATCAATTATCTTCAATAATTTGTAAGTTTTCTGAAAATGATGTCCAGTAATCGATCATTAACAAAAAAAAGTCTTCCAACGAGCAGTGTCGACAACATTGGACTCGCCCCAAATATCACCTTCCATCCTTGACAAAGGGATAATGAACTCATCTCCATGTTTTTCTGTGAAATGCCATTTATATCAGTAAACTACTGTGAATAGTATGTATGAGTGCATCGCTACTGGGATTCTGTGTTGGAACCTATGTCGTAGAAGACTAAGTGGATTGTGTGGTTCAGTCTGACTTGGTTGATTACATGTCATTATACCTTTCTCAGTGTGGGACATTGTTCAGATCAATCACTGGTTTGTCCAGTCCAATCCAGTCCAATCTCATTAAAATCAGATTTTAGTTCTCGCTACAAGTCGACATTAGCCAATCAGAAGGGCAGCTTTCTCGTGCTTTACGGCACTGATTTCAAATTGGCAACTACGCTTCGAAACATATTTGACAAATTCTCGATTAAAGATTTGAAACCTGAACAAAAGAACATTCTGGAATGGCTAATAGATGGTCTAGATTGTATGGATTCAGTCGTTAAGCCCGTAACTATCGTTCGGAATACCCCGTGTTAATGTTTTCGAGGTTGCATTATCACATTCCGACTGTCACTTTCATGATCTGGTAAGTGATGCACTGATTGGATGAAAGGTCGTTCTGACGTGACCCCTAATGGGTCCTCATATCTTTGTTTTGCGGTAGCGAGAACTAAGATATGCTTTTAATGAGATTGAGTCTAGGCTTGATTATTACTTGTCCCACATAGCCACTGACTGGCCCTGTCTTCAGCCAAGTCAACATACTCAGCTGCATATTCATATCCTGTGAAGAATAGGTCCTCAGCTTTATAAGACACGACTATCGGGTGGTCAAGCTCACTGACTTGGTTGATGCATGTCATCATATCCCAATTACATGGGTTGATGCTCATGACAATCACTGGATTGTCTGGCCCAGACTCGATTATTTACAGACCGACATCATATAGCTGGAATCTTGTTAAGTGAGGCGTTAAACAACAAACAAACAAAGCATATTCATATCAGAGTCTGTTTCATTTCAGTCGAGAGTTGTCTCTCATGAATCCGTTCCATATTGAGGAGTGCGATGATTCGGATGACAATTATGGTGTGCTAGGATTCGATGAAGATGAAGTGTATGAGATGCTGTGCCAGGGCATCAAGCCATGGGACCCTGAAGCTGGAGCTGCCTTGGCCGTGTTGAATGGATATGACGACTTCTATTGACTGGCTGTTTGACAATAGCATCACCATGTGTGTTAGGGGAGGAAACTAATCTTGTTTTGAAACTGTGATACTAGTTTTGTCGGTGCTAGTGGATTATGTTTGATAATTGAAATTGTTTATGTTGATCTATACAACCTTTTTTCAAGCCTTGCGTCTTTTCAATTGGTCAATTATATTACTGGCAACACTGAGATGTCAAGTTTGTAGACTGACCCAACTTGATTAGGACGGGTTAATTTTTCCTTCTCAGCTTCCTGAAAATTGTGAATTGTTCTGCTTTGTTTGTCTCACAGCAAAATAGGAAAGTCGTGCGACAGCTTTGGGGTTTGAAAATTGAAATGTTTATCAACACTTGTTCTGATAATGAAATTAGTAATAAACACCAATTGTTGTGGTAATTAAGAATACACAACTTGTCTATTGTTTTGCTTGAACATCCGAGAACACCTTGAAAGGAGGTTACGGCAGGTGAAATTTCAGCCAATCAGAATCAAGGCTTCTTAATTATCAGAAGCATGTCGGTATCTCAAAAATGAACTATATAAATGAAAAATAGAACTGTAATGAGCACCATTACTACACCCACACTCAAGGGTATATTTGAGTGTTGATTTTTTCTTTTGCTTAGTGTCCCAAATGCTGACATCTGATTGGCTCAAGAACAGCACACATCCTTCTTTTAGATTGGTCGATCAAAGTAGGCTCAGAGAAAGATTTGATTTTAATGAGATTGGTTGGAACCAAATGATGCTGAACTGGAAGTTTCAGCTGCCATGTTGGTGAGTGAAGAAAACACAACTACCGAGCTGCTGCATCATATTTAATACAACACTGTACAACAGCAATAAATAACAATAGAAGTTCTATGTACACACAGAGTAAGTTACAGGCTCTAAAAGTGGGAAAATTAATAAAATAAGCTCAAACAATAGACAATCCTTGAACAAAATGATTCAAAGAACTGGCTGAACCCAAATTTTAATTGTAATTCAAGACGATAATTACATGCCACAACTCTTAAGAGGCTTCAAAACACATTGAATTATGGAGGACGTAATTGACCAGCCCATACAACGTATTTAATGTCATGTCAGCCTGAACGTTTTGTTTGTTGTTGAATGCCGCACTCAGCAATATTCTCGCAATGTGACGGCAATTGTGATATTGATGACATGCATCCACAAAGTCTGCGCCCTTGGATGTCAACAATTTTAGGGACAACCAAACTGAACGTGCATCACAATATGAACACTACAGAACCAACTTCTGTGGTTTTCTTTCAAAATAACCTATAAAGACTGCATGTAGATTGCTGGGCATATGATCTCACATCCATTGTGTTAAGGAATCGGGTTAATTGCTTTATCCACACAACAAAAACAAATACATTAATAGGTATAAGAATTCTCTCACAACATAAAATGTGAAAATGTGTATTTGATGAAACAATTGCTAAGATCATGATCCTCTTATAACAAAAATATCACATTAAATTGCCCTGCATAACACACCAATGTAAATACCGCCAATAGTTGGAATGTTGCCGAGTGCAGCATTAAAAAAACAAAAAACAAACACCAATCATTGAATCAGTCTTCATGTTAAATTCTTGATATTTTTCATACAATGCTGCTGAGTAAGATGAACACCTTATACATAAAATGCCTACCTAAGCATTTCTGATTATCCACAAATACATATGCAGAAGACAAATAGCAGCTTCTGATTAGCATTATGTAAATTTAGAAGTTAGATCTCACACACAACCTTTTGACAACAATATACTGTCTAAAGCCTATGGACATTAAATGTTAGTCAAATGTTTGTCATTTTCTATGTTAGCACGGACACCTACCACTGTGGGTTAAGTGATTTTATTCAAACTGTCACACTAAGGCTACTCATCGCCACCGTAGTCCAGGATGTGTTCAAAGGAGAAGGGTTGGAACTTGTAACCTTCACCTTTGTAGAACTTGGACTGGAACTCCACCCTGGAGAAGAGAAAGTAGGTTGTGTAACTGGGTCATGTCATCGAGGAAGTGAAAGTAGGTTGTGTAACTGGGTCATGTCATCAAAGAAGAGAAAGTAGGTTGTGTAACTGGGTCATGTCATCAAGGAAGTAGGTTGTGTAACTGGGTCATGTCATCAAGAAAGTAGGTTGTGTAACTGGGTCATGTCATCAAGAAAGTAGGTTGTATAACTGGGTCATGTCATCGTGAAAGTAGGTTGTGTAACTGGGTCATGTCATCAAGGAAGAGAAAGTAGGTTGTGTAACTGGGTCATGTCATCAAGGAAGAGAAAGTAGGTTGTGTAACTGGGTCATGTCATCAAGAAAGTAGGTTGTGTAACTGGGTCATGTCATCAAGGAAGAGAAAGTAGGTTGTATAACTGGGTCATGTCATCAAGGAAGAGAAAGTAGGTTGTGTAACTGGGTCAAGTCATCGAGGAAGAGAAAGTAGGTTGTGTAACTGGGTCAAGTCATCGAGGAAGAGAAAGTAGGTTGTGTAACTGGGTCATGTCATCGAGGAAGAGAAAGTAGGTTGTGTAACTGGGTCAAGTCATCGGGGAAGAGAAAGTAGGTTGTGTAACTGGGTCATGTCATGTCGAGGGATTTGGTGTCAGAGTGAGTGAGTGAGTGACGCCGCTTTGAACAGTATTCCAGTTATATCACAGCACGTCCGCTTCATGTGGGAGGAAAGCCCTAAGTGATGCAGGCCACTTTGGTGAACCCCATGACCATGGATATGGTGCTGACAGAACTAGAAACATAATTGGGGCCAAACTAGGATTTGAACCCACAGTCATAGGTTTCTTGAGCCAAAGGGATGCTGCACCTTAGACGACTAAGCAATCCATCTGTGTGTGTGTGGGTAAATGATTGATTTTAGCTCGTGAAATAGTGAGTGAGTGAGTATGGTTTTACGCCGCTTTTAGCAATATTCCAGCAATATCACGGCGGGGAACACCAGAAATGGGCTTCACACATTGTTCCCATGTCAGGAATCGAACCCCAGTCTTCGGCGTGACCAGCGAACGCTTTAACCACTAGGCTACCCGACCGCCCCTCCGGTGAATTAGAGAGCATGTATTTACGATATCTGTATGTGTCGACAAATGATTGATTCTTACCAGTGGAGGCGGAGAGCATGTAGGAAGGCAGACAGTCCCTCCATGACAACTAGCACAGCTACAGTCATGCTGGACCACGCCATGAACACAAAGAACATCATGACGCTGCCAAAGTAGCCGTTGATGGACAGGGGGATTCTCAGGACCATGGTCCACAGCACTTCAGACAACTCTGTGGGGAGACATCAATGTTTTATCAGCACCGATAAGACAGACCTCAGTACCACTGAGGTGAGGAATCACTATAGGAACAAGATAGCTATTCATGTTTGAAGCCTCCGTTGATATTGTAATTAAACAAGGATGACAAATTGAGATCTGTTTCAAGATACCGATATAGGAGTGAGTGAGTGAGTGAGTTTGATTTTACGCCGCTTTTAGCAATATTCAAGCAATATCACGGCGGGGAACACCAGAAATGGGCTTCACACATTGTACCCATGTCGGGAATCGAACCCGGATCTTCGGCGTGACGAGCGAACACTTTAACCACTAGGCTTACCCCCCCCCCCCGATATAGGCGATAAACATACTGTGAGCAAGGATACCTGTAGATATATCCATGCTGAATTGAATATAGAACCAATCATGCAGCGAGATGTTTCAAATGCTACACTTGGTGCAATTAAATCTACCGGTAACCTAGCTTTACATTGAAAGCACAGTATGTTTATCTCCATTCCACCATGATAAAATTAAACATGAACATAATGGTATTTGTGAAGACATTCAGTGCAGTGAGTGGGTTATCAATCTTACACTTCCAGTCCCAGCCTTAATGTGATAATGGATTTTGTATGACAAGTTGAGGTATTCTTATTCTTTAAGAAAACTGATAATGAGGCTCTCTCTTTACCTCAGAGGGTTCTTTGTAGGTAGAAGTGCTCTATTGTCATAAAATCACTAAGAATACAGGAGTTCTTATGATACATGTCCTATCAATATCTATTGTGAAGCTGACATATTTTCATGCCTAATATTGTGATAGTACTCAGAATAAACTAAAATTGATTTCAAAATCACAGTATCCTTTGCATAGTTCTGATCAGTCAAAAGAAACCCTTTCAAGGACTTACGAGCATGAGCAAGACTGAGAGCCCAGAGTCGCAGGTAGGACGCAGTGTGTGAGATGCAGCCTAGGCAGTACTCGATGGTGTGGATGGCCTGGTTGATGAACACCTCCGGGAAGTCAAACACCTGTCAAACAAACACGTCTCCTTTGTAAGCCACTAGCCAAACACATCTCCCTTATAAACCACTAGCCAAACACATCTCTCTTATAAACCACTAGTCAAACACATCTCCCTTGTAACCCACTAGTCAAACACATCTCTCTCATAAGCCACAAGTCAAACACATCCATCTTATAAGCCACTAGCCAAACACATCTCCCTTATAAACCACTAGCCAAACACATCTCTCTTATAAACCACTAGTCAAACACATCTCTCTTATAAACCACTAGTCAAACACATCTCCCTTGTAACCCACTAGTCAAACACATCTCTCTCATAAGCCACAAGTCAAACACATCTCTCTTATAAACCACTAGTCAAACACATCTCCCTCATAAGCCACTAGCCAAACACATCCATCTTATAAGCCACTAGTCAAATACTTCTCCCTCATAAGTCTTTGCATATCATTTACAACAGCGTATATCCAAGAGCCCCATGGATCTCATTTTGAAACAAACGTGTTTCTTTAGTGAGTATGTATCTCACACTTTACTAAGCAGTATTCACAAACTTACCAATGGACATGGAAACTAATGGAAACAGATGGGGATTGGCTCCTTACAGAAGTTGGCCATGCTTGATAGAGTAATATCCATACAATATATGACTAGAACTACAAGACATGCATATAGACATCAAGATCATGCACATATATAATTTCACATTCAAGACTCATGGTAAACTAGGACACCTAAGAAACTATGTTTCAAACGGCTCTCAATGGTCAATTCTTCACACAGAGAAAAATAGGAACCTTAATGCCAGTTTTTGTGCTGCTGGAGAACTCAAATAGGAAAATAAAAAAACCAATTAATTTGCTCTATTCTATTGGGAAATATTGTTTGTTGAAGTGAGAGCATAAACATAATTTAAATACTCTTAAAACATAATTTAAGTTGCTCTTTGCAAATGTTTTATCTCGTTAGTGTCATCAAATGTAAGAATATTACTGATCTTAATTTAGGGCATTTCCCCTACACCTTAATCACGTTGTTTATAACCCAACTGGCTGAGAAATATAATAATCAGTTTCTGGTCAGCAATGTGGCCCTCGAGCTCAGTGATACGTTGAGCGAGCCTATTCACCTTTTCCTCCTCCTCCTCATGATGAAGTCCGGCCCCCACTTCGTTATGCACAACTTCCTGGTCGTGGTTAAGAAGGTCGCCGCTGTTGACGGAGAGCTGTTGGTGTTTGAACTGGAAGCAAGACACGACTATGTCAGCCACAGAACATGCACAGGACACAGGACAGAGAATAGATGCTAGATTTCTGCAAACTACAACCTCGGATTCAGAAGTCTAGAGAAACATTCTCGCACAATCCATGAGAAGAATGACAATTTAAATTTGTGAATCCACTCAAGGCCAAGCTCTGTCATCACAAGGGTGAGAACTCTCCAGTTTGTCAAAGTGTGAGAAATTATTATCCATACTCAACTTCTTCCTGTTCTGTTGAAACAGTAAAGGGGTTATTTTCCAAATTAAGAAATGAACTCAATAATATAAGGTGGATTCCTGTGCCTAAGTTACAAACATTAATTTGAATAATACATCTTAAGAATTAAGAATTTGAAATATCAAATTTCACAAATCAACCAAAACCATTACCAAACTGCAAATAATAGGGTAAGAGTTTGTTCAATTGACAAAATTATTAAAGAAGTAATCATAAAAATATGCAAAAATGGAAAACACATACTTCGATATAATATCTTGTGTTGCAACATGCCAAATACAACAGTGAGTGAAAGATGATATCAGTCCTCCCTTCTTCCCCCATGCAAAAACAGTGTCAAAGTTTGCAGAAACCTCCCAATATGTAATGACAATGCAAATCAACATACACTGATCAAATCTAACACATACAGGTACGGCTATCAGATAACTCTCAATCGTGCCACAAAATCCACTTGACAAGAAGCAATCAGCAAAAGATTAAATATTTCATGGCTTAAGTTGTGGGTAATGCTAATGGGGAGCACACAACATCCAGTATGACATCATGCTGTTTGGGGAACTATCACAGCTGATTCTTCGAGTTAACCCTTAGCGCCAATCAATTCTTAAACCAACCCAAGCCAACAAGGTCTGAAACAGGTACCAGTAACTTCAGGCCACAACAGGGTGATTTGCATGACATTTTTTACAGCACAACTAGAGGAACTTTGTGAGAGTAGTCTGATCTTATTTAAACTCATTTTTCTTATCTTGATCTTTGTTTGATATTAAGTTTCAGAACAAACATGTCTTTAGAAAAATCTTTGCATGAGAACTAGTTAAGCATCAAAAGCAGTGATGTTGATTTGCAGTCATAAACACATCTCGATGTTCTTACACCATGAAACAATAGCACTATTCCTGGGTTATATCCAGCCTCTCTGTTTTACCTCATGTTACTGTTCACATGGAACGTCTTAAAGCTGAAATACATCACACCTTCAACAAACAGAGGTGACCATGAAAGTGTAAGTATAAAAACCTTTTCATTGTTTTCTATTTTTCATTCAACCTCGAAACAAAATATTGGGTACTCCACTGAGTACAGAAACTGTACACGTCCTTGTACGATCATCATGGTCTGGAAAAATCTAGGCACCTTTTCAAACACACAATTTTCAAAAATTCTTCTGCCCTAATATTTTAAGAATCAAAATATGGAAATATCATTACACCTTGTGCATGGATTTCTACACAGGTTAATTCGTAAAGTTAGGGCTTACTTGTTAGAAAGTTGCAACAGTTGTGACGGTTCAGTACACAGCCACAAATCTTATATACTGCCGTTAAAAAGCTTGCAAATGGCACCCATCAAACATTAAAGAGACATGTCTGAATGTCAAGTGGTATGTGAAATAGGGAACTAGACTCTATGGGATAAAGCTTGCGTTGAGCAGGGGAGTACAGTATTGTTTACATAAGCATGACTTAATGGAGCTGTTTGAGTCTAGTCCCGACAATCTCACCCAAAACAATTTTGACCCATGTGTTTCATACTATATGAAATACATTCATTTCTTTGAGAAAAAAAACAAATATCACTTCCATATCACAACCATACTTAACTGAAAAAAAAGAAGTTAAAATATAAAAGCATAGCATGGTATAGACCTAAAGAAAATATCAGTCGACTGATAAACTGAAGAAAGGGAGAGATAGTGAGGAACCTACACCTAAAACAGGAAGAGAAATCCTGAGTCCTCCAGGCATTAGTCTAGCAGCAGTATGCATCCATCAAGCTGACCACCCTCACCAAGTCAAGGACCAAGGATTAACTCGAGAATCACCTGCACGCTAGTGTTAGTACTTTCCCCTGGTGATTTAGGAAATGACACAAACGCTACCTCAGAGTCATCAGTCTGGCCGCCATTCAGGAAAGTTAAACTCTTCAACTGAAATGGGCATAGAAAGCTTGTGCCGAAAGTTGACTAAATGAATAATGCTCCCTGTCCAAAGAACATTGAAGAAAATCAGCTTCTTTTGAGAACATTTATAAATTTGTCAAAGGGCAGGTAACTCCAACAGGACATAAAATTCATGATCAACAATGCCTATATTGACCACTACTGAGGCTGTCATAAAATGGAACATGAAGGGTTAATAATAGGACAATTAAACATGTTGTAAAAGCAATTTTTAAAAATAGTAGAATGTTCACTGATACATGTAGAATTTCCATTACCTTCTTATGTGATACATTAAGCTTAGTATACAGGCATGCAGAAAACTACTTGGGTGAGATGCTGCATTGACTACACTGATGATGATGACTGAACGCTAGCAGAGAACATTACTTTTTAAGAATAATCTAACCAATACCGAAAGAGGAAATCAAGAAAGCATGTACCTAACTCCCAGTTAAACAAAATGCTAAGAGTGTCTGCTGGTGTGTGCCGTATTCACACTACATGACATTACTTAAGACTTGCTATTTTAACAACAAGCCAATATCACAATATCATCGATATTATTCAACATTTGTACATATAGATGTCTCTTAGAAAACATAATTTCTTTCTACATGGTACAAAGGGAAACAACTTGTACACAAGCATTTTCCTAATGACAGAATAAAGAATATTGGTATTGGAACACAACTGAAACAATAAGTAGCCTCCTGCAAATTAGACACTACGCTTGTTGTATGAACTTTACTTTTGAAGCAGTGTTTGAAATAAAATAAACTGCCAGGCTGCCATCAGGACCCACAGACTTACGAAGTTGCAGGCCGTGACTAAACTCTTCACGCCCTCATTCAAAAAACTTCAGTTTCTTGAGTGAGTGAGTGAGTATCGTTTTACGCCGCTTTTAGCAATATTCCAGCAATATCACGGCGGGGGACACCAGAAATGGGCTTCACACATTGTACCCATGTCGGGAATCGAACCCGGGTCTTCGGCGTGACGAGCGAACGCTTTAACCACTAGGCTACCCGACCGCCCCTCAGTTTCTTGAGAATACATTGACACGTAAATTTACTGCAGGTGATAAGGACCCATACAAATGTTAAACTACGAGATACACCTGCCAGGGGCCTACAGGCAGGTGCTTATTTTGAACACTGAAGGCTCTCATATTCTGTGCTGCATATCAGTGAATAAATGATACAAGAAGTGTCATCAGAGCACATCTTGTGTTCCAGTACACAGCAGTTCAAAGTGTCATCAGAGCACATCTTGTGTTCCAGTACACAACAGTTCAAAGTGTCATCAGAGCACATCTTGTGTTCCAGTACACAACAGTTCAAAGAAGGCAGGATATCAGTCCAGCAGACATCCTTAAAAATGTTAAATGTTAATCTTACATTAGTAAATTTAATAAAAACCCAAATTCCATTCACTTGCATAAAGAATCCGTTTGTCAGAACAAATTCACTGGATGAATAAATGAGTTTGTCTTCATGCACCTTATAGCCATATCGTGGGAGTTAACAAGAATGACCTTCACATGTTATACCCATGTTGGGAAGCAAATCCCAGACTTGTTTAGTGTGACAAGCCAATGCTTTACACCATAAACCCATCCCACTACTCCACATTGGGGAACAACCACTTCACTAGAAAAGTTCATAAATTTTTTTCCACTTGACAGCTGTGATGACCTCTACTTGGGATTGTAAACAATAAATGCTTTTCACTTTGTAACTTATGTAGAGGACACTGATGGACATATAGGTTACACTTATTGTAAAATTCAATCCACAATGACAACATGACATCCTTGATATTGTTTATGGACATTCCTTGAGTTCTGTTTCATTTATCTGAGTTGAGCCATGACAATCTTTTGAAGCTGACCTACCGATGTGATGCAGATACAATTTATCACTGCTGATTCGTGAAGTCTCTGGAATTCTAGTAAGGCTACCAATGAGTTGTCAGCGGCCACTAGGTTTTATTTATTTGAGGTTTAACGCTGCAATATTCTAGCTATATGATGGCAGTCTGTAATTAATAGAGTCTGGACCAGACAATCCAGTGATTGACATCATGAGCATCGATCCACGCAATTGGGATACGATGACATGCATCAACTAAGTCAGAGAGCCTGACCACCTGATCCTGTTAGTCGCCTGGAGTAGACACAAGAGTGTCCGTCATGGACGAGGACATCAGGACACATGTAGAACACTCTCAGGACAGATCTGTGGACTTCACTTCACCACATTCTATCTGAGAACATGCTGACAGCAGCAGTTTATGAACACACAAAACTCTTATGCAGTTATTGTCAATGCTACATTTCAGGAAGGCCAATGGGCACTCTCCAGTTGGGGCGTTCCATACTGACGAACTAATACATCACCGATGGCAGGGGCCACATGACTAATACCATCTGATCACAGATGTGGTACACACAGACGAACTAATACATCACCGATGGCAGGGGCCACATGACTAATACCATCTGATCACCGATGTGGTACACACAGACGAACCAATACATCACCGATGGCAGGGGCCACATGACTGTGATACCATCTGATCACAGATGTGGTACACACAGACGAACCAATACATCACTGATGGCAGGGGCCACATGACTGTGATACCATCTGATCACAGATGTGGTACACACAGACGAACCAATACATCACTGATGGCAGGGGCCACATGACTAATACCATCTGATCACAGATGTGCTACACACTGACGAACTAATACATCACTGATGGCAGGGGCCACATGACTAATACCATCTGATAAAAGGCATGGGACACACTGAAGTACTTACATATCATCAATGGCAGAGACCACATGACAGTTATATCATCTGATCACAGTGAAGTGGTACATAAACACGAACTAACACATCACCGATGGCATGGGCCACATGACATTATGGTACAAACTGTTCTATCCTCTGTCAGAAGAACACATTAAAACAATATTAGGTACAGCCCACCCAGTTATCACTTTTCTAGGCTATTCAAAATGAGAGAAAAGGGGATCTGTACCTGTCCATATCGATGCTGGTATCGGAGGAAGAATGGTTTGACAAGCAGCATCCAGGGAATGCACAGCACTGCAACTACAACCAGGAAAGCCTGGAATCCTCGCTGGAAACAAATAAGTATATATCTCAAGTTAGGGGATGTGAGCTGGGGTCCATGTGATCAAGGTTACAACATTCAAAGCCTCAGCAAAGTTTTCAAAACGTATTATGGCACGCACATGGAGGACCTTTCAAAATTTGACACATCAGTGATTATTATGTCCGATTTTGACTTGTACTATATGTACTATATGTACCTGGAGCTGGACTCAAATTCTTCCGACAAGCACAATGACATGAGGGAGTGAGGTTTAATTTAGTATGGTGGTAGTGGGAGGCAGTTGTGAGGGAGATGTTCTTGTGATGTTAATTATGGTATGTAAACGTACATGTTGGTTGGTTGGTTGGTTTGTTGTTTAATGCCGCACTCAGCAATATTCCAGCCATGTGATGTCAGTCTGTAAGTAATAGAGTGTGGACCAGACAATCCAGTGATTGATATCATGAGCATCGATCCAAGCAATTGGGATCGATGACATGCATCAACCAAGTCAGGGAGCCTGACCACCCGATCCCATTAGTCGCTTCTTACGACAAGCCTAGTCGCCTTTTATAACAAGCACGGGTTGCTGAAGACCTATTCTACCCAGGATCTTCATGGGTCGTAAACGTACATGTAAAGAATCATGTTCTACATATATGATGTATTACCTGGCCTGGATAGAGATCGGGCGTGTCACTAGGGTAGTTGAACAGAAACATGTTGATTGCCCCTGTAAAACAAACAAAACCTCAGTAAAGACAACATGACTTTGTCGAAAATTAATATCAGGATCTCTCTGAATGCTAATGATGAAAAACATTCTCAAATTCATATTGAAATGGAAACAAAGTATTATAGAATTATTCTACTTTGATACAATACGATGTCATCGTTACCAAGTTTCAACTGGCGTTTTCTGTGACGTGGATCAATGAAATGACAGTAAAACAGCAGGAACTGACCAATGAGCAGACTTGGTGTTGTATGGCTGCTGGAGTTGTAGTAAATCCACTTGTAGAAGATGAGGATGATGAGATAGCCAAACATACAGAAGAGGAACACAACCTGGGGGATGAACTCACAAAAGATGTTGAGAGGTCGCTGGAAGTATCTGACAAGAGAACACGTTCACGTTGACTGTTACCATACTGGATAGCAATGATAATCAAGACTCTGTCAACAAAACAGTCTCAGGTACAAGTGAAGCATGTGTTTCAAAGCTGAAGAATTAAAAAAATATCTTCTTTTTGTGTTAAGGCAGAAACAACATGCAACTGTGCATTTCTTAAATTGTTGTCTAGTGAGTGAATCTTTTGCCGAAGTCAGCATAATTCCAGTGGAGGTGTAATCAAACCATTGGCTGATGGCATGAGCAATGACCTTGGCATTGGGAATTGATGAAGGACAATGTTTGTTTGTTTGTTTGTTTGTTTGTTGTTTAACTCCGCACTATGCATTATTTCAGTTATAAGACGATGGTCTGTAACTAAATGAGTCTGCAAATAAATGTCTCCCATCTAACATTTTAAGATTACTTGGATGAAAATCTAAAACTTAATTTTGGCCTAACAAAACTGGTTTTACATTCAGCTTATGCCTCTCAATATGTGTGTCAACATTTGTAGCTAACAGAAAGTGGGACAGTTTAGTAACACCTACCTGTGGTTGAACAGACTGAGTGTGACACCAAAGAACATCTGTGACACTCCCAGAACGACCGAGGTTTTCATCTTGAAGGAGTTAGTAAATGCAATCTTATTGGAAGACATCTGCCAGATCTGAAAAACACAAAGATCAAGATTTTAAGTTACAAAATAATGAATGAAACCTACCAATCTCGACTGCTCAAAGAACTCTCACCCTGTTAGAGAACAAGTATGCACAAGTGCTGGATTCACCATAGAAATACAAACATGTTGGTTGGTTGGTTGGTTGGATTGTTGTTTAACGCCACACTCAGCAATATTCCAGCTATATGATGGCGGTCTGTAAATAATCGAGTCTGGACCAGACAATCCAGTGATTAATATCATGAGCATCGATCCATGCAATTGGGATCGATGACATGCATCAACCAAGTCAGCAAGTCTGACCACCTGATCCTGTTAGTCGCCTTTTACGACAAGCATAGTCACCTTTAACGGCAAGCATGGGTTGCTGAAGACCTATACTACCCCGGAATCTTCACGGGTCATTTAAACCTGTAACAACACTTTTAAAGGACAGATGGATATTATGTCAAGACACACAGTAATATGAATTTTGAGTGTAGGTGCACAAAACATGCATCCCCATACATTGTAAATGTTTAAATTCAATATTAACAAAAAGTCATGAACACAGGTACATAAGTTGGTTTCATCCTTCGAAACAGCACCAAATGCATCCTAGCCCTGTATTGGCAAAGCCAGAGTGACTGGTACTTACAGGATCTATGCCAATGGCATAAGGGTCGCCATTGATCGTTGTGTTGGCGGGATTCAACTGTAATGTACCTTCGCCTTTGACCGTGTACGGGCTGGAAGGTAACAACATGGAATTAGTTGTCCAGCTGTCAGATTCTTTAGGGTGCGGACAGGTAACATGGGGTTTAATGTTCAAGATTATTTCAAACATATAGCAATGTGCATGTAGATGTTTATACAGCTAATTTCTGCCTCACTTCGTGTGCTAGCCCACTGAGTTACCATGCCACAGTTTAACATGGATATCCCACAGAGACACATTATACTGACTTTGAGACGACCATTCCTTGTTTTATCTCCTTAATGCCAAACATCAGGCAGGGTAACAAAACGTTTCATCTTTCAATGTCTGTTGGTATGACATAGCCAGGGGCATAGAACCACCAACCATTGCTCTCTGGGCAGGTGCTTTATCCACTAGGACACAGTCTTGCGGTCCCAAGTCTTTGGTGGGATAGAGCACCAATCTCATTAAAATCAGACCTTAGTTCTCACTACCACTAAACAAAGATCTGAGGACATCCCATTAAGGGTCACGTCAGAACGACCTTTCATCCGACCAATCAGTGCGTCGCTTACCAGATTATGAAAGTGACAGTTGGAATGTGATTTCTAATCATGCAATCTCGAAAACTTTAACATGGGGTATTCCGAAAGATAGTTACGAGTTTAACAACTGAATCCTTACAATCTAGACCATATATTAGCGATTCCAGAATGTTTTTTGTTCAGGTTTCAAATTTGTAATCAAGAATTTGTCAAAATATGTCTCGAAGCGTAGTTGCCAATTTGAAATTTGTGCCATAAAGCACGAGAAAGCTGTCTTCTGATTGGTCATTCCATTGGTTGGTCAAATTTCACGCAAGGTCGGTCTGACGTGACCCGTAATGGGATGTCCTCAGATCTTTGTTTAGCGGTAGCGAGAACTAAGATCTGATTTTAATGAGATTGGATAGAGCACCTGCCCAGAGAGCATTGTTTGTTGGTTCTATCCCCCTGGCGAAATGTCATGCATTCCATTATCTTGTGACTGATTTGGGCTTTACAATGCTCTTAACATGATCCAACAATATGATTTCAGTCACATTTGGACATGTCAGCTCTATATCACTTGGTGAAACCCAGATGTACGAGTTTGGCAGTAACAAACCAAGTATCATAATCAGTGTAAATCTGGGAATCAAACCAATCAGATCCTTGCACAGCTAAGGGATGCAACTCTTAACAGCAAGCTGCTGCAGCTAGGCAATTTGTATCAAAACCATATGCATTATCTGAACTGATTTGACCCAAACTGACTTTCTGACAAAACTATCACAGCATCTCACTTTGGTTGTGGGTACCACTTCGAACCAAACAGGTTGAGTGACTTGGAGAAGACATCATTGTAGATAAAGCCAGTGTAGATGGAGAATGCACCCATCAGCAATATTATATAGCGGCCTCCAAACATTGTGGTCCATATCTGGAAGAAATAATTCAATTCACAAAGGTACAAATATTTCAAAGCAAAATGTGCAATAAGGACCCTGACAACTGTAAGCAACCCTCCCAATGGCGAGGCTGCGTAAGAATTGGTCACCAGAAACCTATGTTGGTCTAAAGTGGTCATCGAGTCGGTCGGGTAGCCTAGTGGTTAAAGCGTTCGCTCGTCACGCCAAAGACCCGGGTTCGATTCCCGACATGGGTACAATGTGTGAAGCCCATTTCTGGTGTTACCCGACATGATACTGCTGGAATATTGCTAAAAGTGGTGTAAAACCATACTCACTCACTCACTCACTCACTCACTCAAGCGGTGATTACATTGATTAGTGGTCAGACTCAGTTGATGGCGTGATCATTACAAAAACATACAGAGACGGAGTACGTCAATGTTGTTTAACTCGGCAGTCAGACATGAGAGCTGTCAGCAATGATCAATTACATGAATTCATTGACCAGATCACACGTTGTTCCTAACTTATCCCTTTTTAAACTCAGCTGTGTGTAATGGACATACCTCATTGTCAATTTTTCTGGCCATCAGCTGTTTCTCCCTGAGAACCAGCCACAGGGCGAAGGAGAACATGATGACACCGTGCCCCATGTCTCCAAACATCACCGCAAACAGGAACGGGAAGGTGATGATGGTGAATGGAGCTGAAAGTAAACCAACAATGCATCTCAGCAACTCAGCAGGGTTCGCAATTCCTTGTTTTAAGGTGTCATCATCAGGGCATGGTATTACTATATTCTGGAGCCTACAGGGCCACTTAGCAATCACGTGTTTCTATCAAACTTACAAGAGTCCACAGGAGAAGACATATCTCCCCCGGGCTGGTGCAATAAATTGGAGCTACTTATACCCTACTTTTGGGTCATAGCCATTGGATACCTTTAATTCAGTGAAGACAAAAATGATGCTTTTCAGTATTTTTCAAAATCCCAAATCATCAAATGGCACCAGTTCACCACTAGACTGATCTACATAGCAAGCTTCAATAAGCAAATATTAAACGCTTTTGGAGTTTTGCTCCGGAAACAGACGGCTGACTGCTATGGGCTATATTATAATAATAATGTATAAGCTTATATTGCGCAAGCCTCTAAACATTCACTGCGTGTTCAAAGAGCTAACATTATGGCCCCCAGTCAGTGGATTAGTGTGCACTTGATTTTCATTCTCAGCTCCCTTGGGAGTATACAACCCAAGCTACTTGTGAGGCACTAGAAGGTCAACGGTCACATTACCATCTCATCCTACTAGGAACCCATTGTTACAGCTGGGTGAACAGAGGCATATGGTAAATAAGCACACAGACACACTTAATTCTTGGGAATTAGAAATTCAAATCATCAATCGCATCAAAAAAGGCAGGAGACAAACGTTCTCAACTCTCTGCCTATTATCATGTTTATAACGCTTATGAGGAAATTGAAAATCACAGATTTAAAGAATGGAAGAAAAGATTCTTCTTGTTGGCAAACCTAAATTCAAATGAGAGCACACATTGCAAACTTCAAGACAAATGCATTTCTATCCAAGAAGCATCTCTTTCTCAATGTACAGGAAAGACATCAACACAACCAACTTCATTGTAGCAACATCACCGACCTGGATTGATTTCTCGGTAGCTGGCAACACCGTAGGCATCCACGATGGCCTGGAAGCCGGAGGTGAACTTGTTGGTGCGGTTGTAGGTCGGTGGCTCTTGTTTGGTTGTCATGCGGTTCAGGATGGACGGCACACTACTTCCACTTCTCTCCTGTCAACAGGCATAATACCACCGTCATCTCATGACTATTAATACTCCACAGCTAATGTCTTACACAACTATTCGTCCAGGTCGTGAAAATACATCAGCATGACTGTCACATCACAATTGAAAGTAAAGATGTGTAACAGGTTGAGAGCTGATTGTTAAATCCCCATTTAATTATATTGTGAGTAATATGCCCTCCATGTTGGATAAGGGGGATGCCAGGAACTATCTGCAGGAATTTATCATGGAATGTCTTTGTTCCAGCAGATCCACTTATTTCCCAAAGTCGCAATATGTCTGTATGCAGGTGATGGTGTAACATGCTTCAGAACTCTGTCAGACACAGGAAGATGCGGGGTAGAACTGGTCTTCAGCATCCCGTGGTTGTCAAAGAGTAGACGAACAGGATCAGGTGGTTAGATTCACTGACTTGGTTGATGCATGTCATCATAACCCAATTGCATGGAAGAAGGGAGGGTCATGATGTCAATCACTGGATTGTCTGGTCCAGACTTGATTATTTACAAACTGCTGTCATAAAGCTGGAATATTGCCGAGTGCAGCATTAAACAACAACAAACAAACAAACAAACAAACAAAAGAAATGGAACTTCACGAACTATGTCAAAGATATATTACAATGGTAGAACATATGTGAAACTTTTACCAGCATAAGGACCCCCCTACACAGCTTGAAATTCTGCTGGCCTTCATGATACTTTTAACATGAGATTACTGATTCCGGCTAGCAGGCTAGTGTGAACTATTTTCCCTGTATGATATACATTATCAAAGCTACAGTTCCTGACAAGAGGGACTCTGTTCCACTGATACCCAACTTACTGCCTCAGACAAACTGACAATCATTATTAAATAATTTCAAATGTGACACTGAGAAATTGTCTGTATATATATGTATCATAAAACCAAACATGTTGATTGAATAGTAGTTTAGTTATTAATGTTTGAGATTACGCCCAAATTTCCCCCACCTGTCCAGTGTGTCTGAAGGTGAGCAGGCATTCCACGCAATCTTACCGTGCCTCTCCTGAGAGCCTGCTGGATGCGGTCTAGGTCGACAACTGGACACCAACACTCCGCAATCAGACACTTCTGCGTGACGTCCAGATTGAACATGTTGAGTGTGTGGTAGATGGCCTTGATCTTCCTCACTTTGATGAACCACACCTTGATGTTCTTGGCCGCGGCCACCAGGACCCTGTGTCGGTGGTCCTGGGTCTGGCCCAGCACAGTGTTCAGATCCTCGATCCTCGTCATCACGCCGATGGCCATCTCCCTCCTCTCTGCCTGAGTCTCGGGGCAGGGATACAAGGTCGCTCTAAATCTGTCAATGAATCGGCATTCAATGTAGTAGACATATGATGAAGGAAATAATATTTGCAATGGAGGTATGAAGAATGTTCTGCAGTGAAACAGAATAGGACAGGGCCTCTCAGGGGTCAGTAATGTAACCATGACCATCTCTGCTTGACCTCTGCATGGCCCATGGTATTATGGATCCACTAAGACCACATTTCTTAAAAGTGGAGTAAACATTTTTGTGAACAGCCCTTTTTCCTTTCCACCATGACTGTTGACTAACTTGAACTTTTAAAAGTAGATCAATACATTACATTGACATTACTTAAAAAAATCTTTTTTTATTTGCCAGCATATTACCCATGTAAAAATAATTTAATTTTCTTTTTATATACCATGATACATGCATTTTCGGCAGTGATGCTTAAGTTTTCATAATGCCAACCAAAGGTCTGAAAAAAGGGTCCTACCCTTCACAAATCTTCTTCACACGACTCTTGAGTTGGTCTCCTTGGAAAAAGATGATGAAGACAGACTTGTACACCTGGTCCCCCTGGAGATGCAATGAGAACAGGTTATTTTACATGTACCAGGATGATAAATCAGAGCAATCCCATGCTGTCTTAAATTGCCACATTTGCACAGAAACACTAAAGACCTCTTCTATAGAACTGTGCATGTCTAGAAAATTTTAACGTCCAAAAACTATGCGAACAGGGCTGATCCTGCAATATGCAATATTATAAACACATTTTGTACCATTTCACATTTTCAAACTCCAAAGCTAATAGCAATGAAGCCTGGTGTAGCCTTCTATGATTTTGAATTAATCCTTAAACATAACTACTCATCAACTAGTAATATCTGCCTCACTTTATTCGATTGTTTGTTTGTTTGTTTGTTGTCTAATGTGACACTCAGCCATATTCCAGCTATATGACGGCAGCCTGTAAAATATTGAGTCGAGTCCAGAGAATCCAGTGATTGACATCATGAGCATCGATCAAAGCATCCAATTTCTGAAGACCAATTCTAGCCCAAGGTGTGCCTAACTAACGCTGATGATGTATTAGTAATTGAAAATTTCCATACATCGGTTTGATAGTAACAGCCAGGTACATACTGTGACAGGGTCCTCGAGAGGGGCTTCTATCTCAGCCTGTCGTAGGAAGACGTTACCGCGGCATGCTCGCCACAGCATCCTCTCAAATGCAGGAATTCTCTCTCGCAGAATCACGCCAGCAACAAAGCTGCAAACGTTCAGTTGTAATGTCAGTGTGGAGTGCAGACTTTGAAACACATGGACTCTTTCTTAGAGAATACTTTGTTGTCATAGAACAGGCTTGGATTTAGAATTTAAAAATTCACTGGCCAACATTACTTGGTGAAATTTGGTCCTCTAAAAATGTTCCCTTAAAAGCTGGCTTACGGAGCCATCAGCCACAGGAAACAAATTTAAGTTGGTCCTGTTTGTTGAACACAATATATGGTAATTAATTAACCTTTCAATAATCTGAAATATGATCTAGTGACAAAACCATTTGAGAGCATTATTATGAAAAGACACATAATGTAACTGATAATTATGAGTGAGTGAGTTTAACACTGCTTTGCACAACTATTCCACTAATATCACAGCATGTCAGTTTCAATGTGGGAGGAAACCCCAAAGTGATGTAGGTCTAAGACATTAACCACTTTGAGGAAACCTACGAGCACAGGTATAGCGCTGACAAACCTAGAAACATGAAAGAGCGACCAGGACCAGCGACCAGCGCCTTGCTGCACCTTAGACGACTGGGCCACCCATGCCCCCTAATAATTATGAACACCTTAAAGTAGGGAGATTATCAAATGGCCTATCACATCACTTCAAATGATTGTGGGTCCTCAAGCAGCTGATCAACATAGACATATGTCACTTATAAATGACCCCAAGTAAAGTATACAGTGTTGTGCTGAATGATATATCCCTTCAAACAATTACCCTGATGGAAGTCATACTGGTAACTGTGAGAGACTGAAAATGTAACATTCGTATAATTGACCATTTATTTTTCAATACAATACACATGTGTTTGTGTTTTTTATCAACAATGTCCTCTAGGTAAATCAAAGACACATCTTCACTGCACGTCAGTAGCTGAACTGATATATGCAAAGATAAAAGGGAAGTCAAAATGAAATTCCTGAAGTCTGAATAGCTTATGACTAACAAATAAATACATAAAGAGCATCATCTCCCCCGTCTCACCCAAGTCGGAGTGCCTGTCCAGCGCGATGCGCCTCCTCGCCAAGCAGACCCATGTTTTCTTCCGCCAAGTAGGGATCATGCATTGCCTGATGGTGATGAGATTCAGCCTAGTACAAGATGAGTACAAAACAATATAATGACCCCTCCCTGCTACGGTAGCACAACACAACACACAGGCACAAACAACAGGCAGCTGGCAAAAAGAAAGATTTCTGTGGAATTTGCTTTAATTGATTTTGATGATTATTATTAATAATTTTTACAAGTAAGTATCCAAATTGTAACATTACTGATATACTGATTACCTGATTCCACAGAAAACTTTGCTGAAAAGAATGTATATACTGGCAAGGTTTTACAAGATCAAATACCTGCAATAATGCATTAGCTGTTTGAAGAAGAGACATCAATCTTTCATTACAATTTACATCTGCCTTCCTTTGTACTATTCTGTTGGTTAAATAAGTTCTATCTGAGTTGCATTTGCTAAAATTCAAGGAAAATTAAAAAGTCCTTTTGAAATTTGCAATCAAGCACAGTAGGCTGCTGATGCCAGTCCAACTTTTACTCTTTCTGTGTTCATACTATTACGGAAAACACATTGTGAATTCTGATAAAATATCTGCAGTCACTTATCAGGATATTCATAATTGTGACCAATCCAGAATGAAGAAAGAAACTGACATAAATATGATACATCTTTACCATTTGAAATCTGTAGCCTACTAAATTGCAATAGTGAGGGAATTATTCACGGAGAGTCTTCATAAGCAAGTTCTATTTCTGAAGAATTTGTATACATAAGAAGTGACTTGGGGGCCAAACTGTGTGAACATCATAGCTTGCGACCCATTTCTTCGTTTTGTTCACTAGGATGAGTCGTAACGATCATGGAGTAAAACTCTGACTTTTCTCAATGTATGCTAAAACACTAATTTCAATATTAAAGGGTCTAAATGATCAGAACAACTTATGTATGTATCCATGCTAGGATAGGATCCGTGCTCAGGGGTTTCGCCAAGAATGTGGAACTAGTCAATCAGTGTTTACGTCATTTCAAGAATAGTCTCGTGAAAAATGTATGAACGTCAAATTGTGTTGTTCATACTCTAAAGAACATCAATTTCACGGTCATGTGACCGACATCTCATCCAGTTGAAAAGCTGTACATCGTGTAAACTTCACATTAAGAAATTATTATCTGCTGAAGCACGACATGACATAAGCCCGAACAACCGTACCCTCGAATCAGTTTTAGCATAGGCTCAATCACTTCACTGATGAATCCCTCAAAGTTGTAAAACTAGTTATAAACCTATCAAATATAGTAAATATTTTGTCTAATACAAGAGAAAGTACCTGAACTTTAACATAAGGAGCTTGAACAGTCCATACTTACTGTCAATGTACATTCAGTTATCACAACATATACCTTTATCTCTGTATACACGTGTACCTATTCTACTATTACTTATACAACACATATGACTGACATACTAACAAAATAAGTGAACTAAGTATATACTCATGCAGTAACAACTATGAATCAAGAGTCAACTCCACACACATAAACACTGCAATGCCTCAACAAAAAAAGTAAACTCAAATGGCCAAACATGCATTAAACCAGATACATACACTACATATTCATACATGAATTAAGTGAATCTCTGGAATTTGATTGGCTAAAAACGCAATTTGTTTCTTTGTTTCCATAAGCCCCCAAATTATAAGCCATGCCCACTAATGGACTACTGTTTTCTGGTTGTCTAAAAATAGAGTGGGCGGGGCTTATGTTACATGATTGAGCTGAATGATGTCAGTGATCTAACATTGTTGTTTACATTTTTTTGCGTTAATGAATAAATAAACAGAGTGTGAAATTATTATCACTGATATATTTAATCATAAAACAACCTTAATATTCTTTTGCATTTTTGGATGTAAAAATAAAAAAATGGCGTGAACACAGTGTTATTCCACGAAGCACCATGGGTAAAGAGTTGGAGCATGGCCAAGGAAACCTTCTTGAGTTAGACATGTAACAGTGTTAGGTGCTACCACATATTACAGCAGTTTCCATAGCAGCCAAAACAGGTCTGCAGAAAATTGTTATTTTGAAACAAAGCCAAAAATGGTAAACACAAATTTCTGAAAGGAGCTCTTGACAGACATTATGATTCAGAAGAATGTGATGACACATTCACTGGTTGAATCCCGAGATATTATGAAGAACATTTTACATTTCAAACAGACTCTGGCTGCTCTTAGATTGCCTAGCAAGATATGAGATCATTATCCCATCATCTATACTCCCTACACATGAAATACTGCATGACTCCCACCTCTTCCTTAAATAATATACTCATACTGTAATGAATATTGTTGAATATCAAATTTCATAATGACAGTGAATGAATGTTGTTTAATGTCCCAGTCAGCCATATTCCAGCTATATCACAACGGCCTGGAAGTATTTGACTTTGGACCTGACAAACAAGTGTCGGAAAGTATGAGTACGCCATCAGAGCACAATGAAATGCAATCAGCCAAGTCACAGGGCCTGACCAACATATTCCCAGTATAGCCAGCTCCTGGTACAAGCTGGAGGTACTTGGGACTAAGACTCCCCCCAGAACCCCCCTGGGACATAATGGTAGAGCCTTAAAGTTGCACAAGATGGCAAGCCTGGAGGGTTGTAGTTTTATTCATGAAAGCTGCGCTTCACAAGCTGTAAGCACTGAATCTGATCAGGTCAAGTAAGGATGGGAACAGACAGGTGTGTCAAATCACAATGTCAAGGTTAACAACAGCCATGCAAGAAAGGAACTCATTCAAATCAAATAAAAAACCCATCCCTCTACATCCCCATTGCCCATAGTAATCATAGAACACACATCAATGAAAAGATGATAATCATATTAGCAATTAACATGTGAAAATGTACTAAAAAACTTTCAAATATCTCCTTACTTTATTCTACAGATTCGTAATGTCACATGTAACGCAATATGGTTTACACTTATTAGGATTGCTAGTTGTTCCATACATAGAAATATTCATATAACTGTTAACAATCATTGCAACAACTCATTTACAAAGCATTTCTGTCTGAGCAACATAGTGTGTTGACTGGCAGCACCTTGTTTCCCTGACAACTCACCTCCTCGAAGAACGTCTGTGTTTTACGGAGGATGTGTTTCAGTTCGGTCAGCTCCAGGAAATTCCTCTTCAGAGCTTCCGAGTTGGCATTCACTTCCTTCATCTCGTTCTCCAGCTTCTCAAACGTGGCCTGGACAAATATTTCTTAATGATAGTCGCAAAATACATACATTTGGTATTTTGTGTAAAGAATATAGATTACAATAGTCAAGATAAGACTCAACACATTTCCATCTCAATTTAATATCTTAGGGTTATTTCACAGCAAGCATTGATCAAACCCAGGGGCCAAATATGTATGGACGATGCACTGCACTTTGAAAGGGAGGTAACTCTCACCTCCAGGTCTATCATCTCTCTGGGGGCTGGAGCATCTGGGTTGTCTCCCGTATCCAACATCGGAATCCCATCTTTCTTGATCTCCTTCTCCAAGAAACCTAAAACAAGACATGTTTGTATAATAATCTTTAACTTTGACCCCAGACTGTTATAGGGATCCATAGTAAACTTGGGATAATGTCTGTTTGACAATAATACACGTTAACAGGTTCCTGGTCACTTCTTTGCCCTACTTTCGAGAGAAATGATGTGTGCATATTTCCTAAATTTATTATATTTAAAGGTGAGTCTTGGGGGACATAACTATAAACAATCTAATGTCCTCTCAGTGTCAGCACTGCTCCAACCAACTTCCCTCACTGAAGGGGACATCACATCTACCCGAGGCAAGGGTGTTAACAGACTGTGAATGTCCAGTTTCCACCCTTGCCGAACTAGGCTGGAATGTCTTGGCTCGATCGTAGAGCCACCAGTGGTTATTACGAATTATTACGAATTATGTCTCTTCTATGTCCCTCCTATTGACCAGACAGATTCCACCTCTCATATCACTTGCAATTGCTTTAAACAAAATGGCGGAGCCCAATCAAGACGATCTGATCGACTATCAAAATCTATATTGTGATAAAATAGGTCTAACTTCGCAAAGAGCATCAAATCACACGAGCACCTTGATTAAAAACATGAAAAGATTTGGAAAATATCTGTTGACGCCGAATTGGCGGTACCACGTTTTGCTAATCCTGCAATCGACCAAAATCGGCATGGCAGTTTACGAACCAGATCTCGATATCATTACGCGAATTTGATTGGACTATGCATAGACTCGTTACTCCATCCTAAAATATAACTCCATAATTCCGGGCATGTTCGCCAAGGGTGGAAACTGGACTTTTACAGTCAGTTAACTCCCTTGCCTAGGGAAGATGGGGTCATCAAGAATGGGCATTACACACTGTACCATGTAGGGGATCAAATAATACGTTCCCAATTTGTGAGAATTGGAACAAAACCTGGTTGTGTCTCCGGTATCCTGATACACTTGATACATGTATCTGTCTTCATATTCTCATTACAGAAGCTCTGTTTCTACAACTTACAACACATTGAAGACAGGTTCTCAAATCAAAGAATAAATATTTAAAAAAACCAAATCAGTAATCATTTAATGTTGTTCTTTACCTCAGTCAACAGTTTTCCATTGACAATCCCAGCCATGTTTTAATCGTCTGAGCAAACCAGTGACTGACAGCATGAGCAACAATCCATGCCATCAGTGGAACGGTATCACACAATGAACCAGGTAACGTAAAGTTGCCATGGTAACCATGTGGTACCTCCTAAGCTGACTCAAACAACAGCACTGAGGACCTATTTCTGCCCCAGAATTCCCAGGTAGGTAGATGTGTGAGACTGAACTCACTGACAACATTCACCACTTACGTAGTTTCCTCTCCATTTCTTCACATCTTCTGATTTCGTTTACAAACTTTCTTTGGAAAGCATTAACATCTGGATTCAGCTGAAAACAAGAATAGTCCCGGGAATAACAATACATCACAGGAGACAACTGCTTGTCTTAATGACAGCAAAACCGTTTGAGAAGGGAGCTAACCCCGTTTGTCTAATCGAAAGTTCGAGTTGGGGCCACAATAGAAACTAAACGCACTTGCTGTTGAGAATATGTACTATGTAAACAAACCCGCATTACGAACTGCTATTTTGTCTATTTAAAATAAGTATTATGACTTATAACTGGAATAGAATGTAGAAATGCGAAGACACCACAGCAGAACTCACTTCTACAAACATCACAAAACTAGGTCGTGGGGTCATTAATATTCATGACTTATTCCTTTTATGGAACAGGTTCTGGGAAACGTTTGAGGTAATAGGCTTGTATCATGTCCGAGTTCAATTCAAGTGAAGACATATTTTCAGGCTCATATCACCACGAACAATTATGATTAGATTGATGTGTTATACTGGAAAAAGTAGAATGAGTGGTAGTGCCTCTGTAAATTAATTTGAAGTAGCAAGTTTCTTGCTTTGTAACTTTTTGGAAAACTATTATGGAACGAGTGTGGTCAGCTATGATGACGTTATTCAAACTTTAAAGATTTTGTGTGCCTTTCGTGGAATTAACGTCACACTAATTAATAACAAAGATATTTCCCATCAATATTACAAAATGAGAATAATGAATATTGCTACATACCCATGCAAAGTAATGACAAATGTGAGGCCACTAAATGATTTAGTCAACCCAATGAAGCCTAGCGATTTACAAATGTGGTCCCACCTGTTTCGATCACAATATGACGGAAGAAGTGTGCCCACATTTTAGAAAATGGTTATAAGTAAGCCAAGCTTTGCGATTTATAAATGTGCTTTCTACCCACTAGGCGATATACAAATGTGGGAAATATGTGGGCCCACATTTTAGGAAATGGTTATCAGCACTAAACCAATCTAAGAAGATGTACGGATGGAAACATAAATATATAATGCATTCAAACATTTAATTAAGAATACGTTTTACCTTGGGGATAAGATGGCCATTTACTAGTTGGACCAACGACAACGTACAGTGTAACTGACGCCATTCCTCGCAAATACGAAAACAATGGTGATAGCTCCCGGGAGTGACCTCCCTTTTCCAATATGAACCACTGATAATGCAGTTTCGCCATAATGACTGATGTTGACAGATTGTCTAGACATGGATTAACATGGGTGTATCTATCAAGTCAAGGAGATTCTCAGTGACACATTATGGGGTTCATAGCATGAAAATGGGGTCAAAATTAGTTGCGTCCATTCTCAATTTGAATATGTATGTTGACCATGTGTTAAACCCACCATATTTAACTCCAACTTCTATATAGTTGATGTGAAGAAGCCCAACTAGAACAAGGCCGTAGACGTTTACAACTTTCGTGAAACACATGTTGTACTTTCGTATTGACGACTGCAGGGATGTCATCGTATATCACAATATCAATAAATGTTTAATACTAATACTGTATTGATACAAAATTTATGAATATTGGTAGTAAATAAATACTCCACTGCCACAGGAACATTTACATTTATTATCACGACTTACATGGCTAAGGTGGACAATGAAAAAGCAAAATTTCAAAATGATGGATTGAAGGTCTAGATAGGTTATTTTTATCTATACAGAATATTTGATTCATTTTATTAATAATCAATGCAAAAGTATCACAATATCAATACTAATATTTCCAGTTAATGACACCAGCTGCTCAAGCATCTAAACTGGGGATAACTGGGGATAAGTGGCAGGAGGAGACAACTCTGATCGGGCAGTTAAACCTCAGGCTACAGAGCTGTGCAAACCTGCTTGTTAGTTTCAGATCTTTAAGAGCTATGATGTTGGTATGTTGATACAGCTCTTTTTCTTTCTTCCTTTTAACACCGCACTCAGCAATATTCCAGCTATATGATGGAAGTCTGTAAACAATCAAGTCAATCCAGTGATTGACATCATGAGAATCGTTCTACACAACAGGTATACAATGACATCCATCAACCAAGTCAGAAAACCTGACCACCTGATCCTGTTGGTCGCCTCTTATGTATAGCATGGGATGCTGGAATCATCACAGGGTTGACACAGCTACTTACATCTCTGAACTGTACAAGACCCAGCTCTCCCAGTTCCGACACACATGCGTAAGCTGCCTCCGACTGCAGAAACAGCTGACACAGCGTCATCTCCTCGCTCCGCAGTAGCGAACCCATTGTTATTGCAGTCAGGTGACTTCAAATCTGAAATACAAAGTGTTCCATTAAGTCATATAGCTAAGTAACTGATTCAGTACTGAATAAACAAAAACAAGTTTCATCCAGAGGATAAACATGGCCCGCAGAAATGTTTGTAGCATACCTACCTGTTGATGCAAGTAACTAGAAGGTGAAACAAACGTTAAAATAATGAAAGAGAATATTGCAGAATAAGATTAAGAAATCTTAACAAATGTGGAATCTTTGAGAAAATATGTTCTTTCCCATGTATCAATGCCAATTATGTAATTCCTGGGATGTCCCGTGATCATGTACTGTGTATGAAGGACCCTGGCTGTACCCTGGTTACTTGTTTCGAGTGCCACACTTGACCTAACAATGTAAATAAATATAGACAACATGTGCTCCTACACACAGAATTAACCCATTTCTGCAAACACATAGCTCCATATATATCATATGATTTACAGCATATATCACATCATGCTATTTACACATGTCAAACACGTCCACATACTACCAGCTGTAAATGTAACTTAACTTTCTATACAGAGAGCCTGAGTCATGCACATTACTCAGGAACATACATTTCACCAACGTTGATCTGGTTAGTTCAGGTAGAAATATAGTTGATGAGTGAAAGTTCAGACAGATCTATAGTTCAGTGAGAGTTCAGATTTCTTCACATTTGAGTGAAAGTGATGGGCTTTGAACACTGTCAGTGTTATAAATTATATGGCAATTACCATGAGTGAGTGGCTGAGTATGTTTTACTCCACTTTTAGCAATATTCCAGCAATACCAGAAATGGGCTTCACACATTGTACAAATGTGGGGAATTGAACCTGGAGTGGTTCTTCAGCATGATGAGCAAACACTATAACCACTGGGCAACCCCAATGCCCTGAAATAATCATGGTTGCGCAGTGTTGGAATTGGGTGGATCCTGGGGTTCTTGTGCATTGCTTCTCTTGTATTTGAATCTAGGGACCTCTTAAATAACTTTCAAGGACAAGGACACTTCACTTTCCTATAATATTAATTGCAAAAACTGTTAAGGCAATGAATTCTCAAAACATAAAAAGTCAAAGCCATAGAATAGTCTCAGTTGTTTGACGAAACAGATTCGGTTAGGCATAAAAGGCAATATTGTGGCGAAAATTATTTGAAAATCGGTGATGACACCAGGTGTTTGCAAAATGGGTAAGGATGTCCTGCTCTAGTGGTAGCACCCGCCACTCACAAAAGTGGCATAAAAAAGTAAGTGTTTGTATATTGCCTAACGCAACAATACTCATCATGCTCATGCAATACGAATGTGGCCTGTATGCAATCAAGTATGGACAAGGCAATCCAGGGACATGATAATGGATTTACAAGTTGACATTAAAAAGGCAAAATATAGCATTCAATTAGCATGTCAAATGACAAAATCTATGGGTGTACCTTAAAGTTAGATTAATTCTGATCATTCTGTCACGCTTGAAAAGACACATGCCACATATGCAGTCTCTCACTCTTGCAATTCATTATTTTAACATATGTGAATAACATATGGTAACAGCTTATAACATTAACATGATTAAATGAAACAGAATAATATTCTAATGAGACACTAAAGGACATAATATTGAATATAATACTGTTACGCTGCTTGACTGTGGCCCTCCAATCCTGGCAGGCCGAGCTAATTACAAAATTAAGGGGCAGGCTTTTAACTCTGCAACTGCAAAAAAATTAACTTTTTGTTGCTGGGGAAATGAAGATGAACCTTTGTACAGGGATTTATCTAGACTTGCTCATGGGCTAATATTCAGCCCCAGGTCTGAAGCAATTGTCAGCAAAAATTCCCAAACTGGAATAAACATTTTGCCATGTCATGTAGGTAATAACTAATGCTGTGGCTTGGCAGAGGTGGCTTGCATTTCAAGGATAACAGGACCAATAAACATAAAGAGGCTTTGCTTTACAGTTTGACATTGAATGAAGTATTAAAATACCTGTGGCTTTAGCAAATGTTTAGGAAAATGAAGACCCAATTTTGACAAAAGTATGTATTTTACCCCATTTTTCTGTTTGGAATCCCAGATAAGTCCTTGCTATATTTCTGACTGTACATATTTCATCTTTATTTTTACCTAAATAGAAACTGTTCTTAATTGATCACACTGCATCAACAATTGATTTACTGATTTAGAATTCAGAACATGACATATTCCCAGCACTGACACTTTCATTTCAGTGATCATAACACATGAGGAAATCAAAAGCGAACATTGAAATTCTTTCTGAAGTATGAATGTAAACTTTAGGAAGTTTTCATCTTCCTCCTACTTGATTGTTAAGCTTACAAAATAACTTGTCTTTCTTGGTCTATGTTGTCCATACAATAGGACAATATGCACCATACAAGCATGGTTTGCATGCTATGACCTATACAGCAGTGGTGGCAAAGGTAGGAATTAACCTTGAAAGCATACTGGTATTACCATGACACAAGATGAATCGTTTACAATCTATTTGTACTGTCTTTATCTACATCTAAAAAAATCAGCCCAGGTCAAATATTCAAACAATTTTTAATAATAAAACATTTTTACTTTTACATTAAGTGTTTCCCAGTGATGAAATGAAAATGTTAAATTTTTATTAATAGAAATACAAGTAAGAATAACAAATTCACTACTATAACGATTTCAAAATGCTTTTTTTTTTTTTGGGTTCATGCAGATCCTGTTGGGACAAAAAGGGCCCTTGATTATCACACATTGTCCTTGTTCCTCAGAACAAGGCAAACAAATTGGGGTGAACACAGACACTCAATGATACAGTAATGCATGGTTGCCATGGTAACATTATCCAGCATGTTCATGCTATGAATTTAACTTCCATAACAGTTTAGAATGCACATAATATTGTATACAATGCTAAAACTGTAAGGATCATCTCAATAACTGATCGACCCATCAACCCTTATGAGCATGATGAGGTGTGATGCTTTTGAGTCAATTACCCTGAAATATCAATTTCAGTAGATTTTAATCTCATATTCTGCATATAAAAGCTACCCTTATCAACACGATCAAAATGAAATAACATTTTATTAGATTTGGACTTGGGCCAATGGCATAGGTGCCTGGTGGCACGTCCTATTTTATTATATCATGATCAGTACTATGAATTTATGACCTACGTAGATTCACCACTCAAACTGACAATAAATCTTATCAAGCTCTCTGCTGGCTATGTAAAACCACAACACTTAGAACTGGCAAATAGGGTTGGCGTACTGGCACATAAAGTGTATTGCAATATATCAGAATACGTAGAGGTGTATTGCAATACATTTTGCAATACATATATACTCACCGACGAAAGAAACATGAATACAATACATTTTGGTTAATATATGAAGAATTACTCATATTCAAGAGATAATAGAGAGACACAAACGAACATACTGGTATGTTGTGTGAATCGACGCTCATGAGCGCATCACATGTGACATCATAGACCCATGACTAAAGATGCACCATTGGTCTCATACAGGATTAGCTAGTGCAGTTTGGAAATCATGTGCAGCATATTGTGATAAGAATAAAGACACTAGGGTACCTCTTGACTGACTGTTAGTTTTGTCATTAAGTGGTAAACATTGGGAACATCCCTTCTTAACGTACATACTTCTTTATATGTTTCTATGGTTTGCGTTTCTTTTGACAGTGAGTATATATATTTTTACTTCTTCATTCAATAATCAAGACTTCAGTTTGAGAGATGGGTAGTAGAGCTGAGTATCGCTGGTAGTCCTGCACCATGACCGTGGAAAATATTTATTTTATGTATAAAAATAATCTAGAAATGCATACAAAAGCAAGTCTAGCCAGCTCTATTCCACAAATCAGCCAGAGCCCTAGATAAGCTGCGTATTTGCGTAAAATATGCATTAAATAAGCTGAAATATGCAGACAAATTAAATTCTAGCGTATCAAATACAAAAAAATACAAATACACCATTGAAATAAATTAATGCGTATATTACATCTATTAGATTAGTACAAAGCTAGGTTGAAAACAAAAAAAAGCGTCCGTGAGCGGGAGCCGCAAACAGACGCAGATGAGTTTTCTACCATTCACATAGTTTTATATGATTTACAAAGATTGTTACGAAATAGGTTTAAAGTTAAATAGCCAAATATCAAGAAACAGGTGGGTAAAAAAATTGAATCCCCTTTTAAACTTGTGGATACTCAATCAAAATTAAACCCCTGGTAAAAATACCCAAATAACCAAAAGCTTATCTATAACTATAATTTTTTAAATTTTTTTAGAGTCAAGAAGGATATTGTGTAATATAAGATTTCAGAGATTACATTTTAGTCTATATCGCTGGTATCATCATGCAATATTAATATGCAAGGGTTTCTTTTGACAGTGAGTATATATTTTTACCTCTTCATTCAATAATCAAGACCTCAGTTTGAGAGATGAGTAGTAGAGCTGAGTATCGCTGGTATCATCATGCAATATTAATATACAAGGGTTATATTGCGATACATGTATTGCTGACCACTGTATTGCAATATACCAGTATATCGCACACCCCTACTGGCAACTGTTTGTTCTGATCTTATTTTTAGTTCATTGTCCTCAGTGCTTTGCCACTTCACAGCATGACAACAGTGTCTTTCAACTTGTATCATATTCCATGTGCTGTACTTCCTTGTCATATAAGACACAGCTACATCACTAACCGACTAAAATGTATCACCATGCTGTCTCAAGCCACAAACAAAGCAATACATATACCTACAGATTAGTCAAAACACTTTCACTTCTATTACCAAACTTGTCTCCTGGAACCATGTTCACTTGATCATTAGTTTAAACAAAGGGAACATTATTCACTTTACTAAGCTTAAGTGCTCTTAGCCAAACAGACATTTTAAACCATGGAATCAGGCTAATTAATGAAGTCAGTATTGTAAATATATAAGTGCCTTGAATCATGTTGAACATGTTGAAGTGAATACGCCATAATTATTAATAACAAAGATATGTCCACATGGAATAATTAATAAATACAAATAAATGCAGAAAAAGTACATCTGGGTGAAATTCAGATTAGTATCTTCTTAGTAAGAATAAGATTCATGGATGAACAACTCCTTTACAATTAGGAACAACCTTTTGGTGTAGGTTCTAACACCCTTATGAAACAAGTGAAAGAACTGCTCCTAATTGTATTTTCACTTTTTTGATAACGATGTTAGAACCTACACCAAAACGTCACTCCTAATTGTAATAAAGAAGTTGTTCATCCATAAATCTTATCCTTACTTAGTACTCCAACTTATAAATGCCTCTCAAAGAATTAGTATCTTCTTCTCCGAGTGGAAGCTGTGACAAAGCTGAGACAGTTAGTTCAACTACCTACCTATGTAGTTGTTTGTTTCTAGTAGCTGAATAGTGTGATGGGGTCACTCCTTACAATGAGAAGATGAGGAACTGCTGTGTTCACAATCGGTCTCCTACACCTACTATATGCTGTTCAGTCCACACTAACTCTGATTCATAGCTGTCCAGTGTCACCATTTACTTTAAACAATGACAGCTAATTAGTCTAATGATCATTCAATTCTTGATTGACACCTGTTAAATACAAATTACGATAAATGACAACTTAATTAAGACAACAGTTTGACACAGACCATATATGTTTCAAACCTATACATACAGATAAGAGACAATATGCCCTGTGGCAAGAGCTGTATTCCTCATCTGATCACTGACAAGGCGCTTCGTTACAGAGATGGTAACAATGTACACTTAATGATACTGACTGGTACACTGCACAAATACCCTTAGGGCACACAACTGTATGTATTATTAGCTTGTGATATGCATACATTCAACCTAAAGAGGATCTTGATCATGGCCATGATACCAAAGGGAACAATATTTGCTACCAAATATTTCTAATACAGTATATTTATTGGCAAAATCCAAGTATGCCAACCCAAAAAAAATGTTCAGTTGTGTGCTAAGTCTCAGCACACTATCAAATAAACAGGGGACCTTTACTCATATTTAGGAAAGAAGCTGTAACTCTATGATATTCACATCAGACTGAATTGTTATCATTGTAACACTACCCCATGAGTATGACAATGGAAATATTATTATCACTTGCCATGCTTGCCACAAGAAACCTGATCGATGACGAAATTTATTTAAATAATGTCTTGCCTACACTAGAATAGATGGCACCATACATCATTATGGAGAGTGCTTATGAAATCAAAATTGAGTTGTTTTCCTTGAGTCATGATTTTGTTCAGAAGGATAACTATTTCCAATGCCCTTCCAATTTTAGGCCATCTGCCATATGATAGTGAATCATTCTAAAAATAGTTGTCACATGTCTATCCATATATACAAAAAAAGGGGGGTATCATCTCATCCCTCAAATAATATCAAGGCCAGATGTGACATCCGAAAAATGGTTGCGGGAGGAAATCTTTAGCCCACATTCGTGTTTATCATAATTTACCTACAAATGCCAGCATGAAAATCGATCAATCATACCACCTATCGTGGACGAAACTGTCTTTTTCGGAGTCCTAGGTTCACAATGAAAACGTTTTGTAGCCATCACTGTAAATGTCGACCTACCAAAGTACAACAAGACGGGACTTGGTCCAAACACGGCATAGATCTAATATCATTATCAGTAACGATCATTTATGTTGATGAATTCCAGACTTACGTTGCATGTGTCAAATCAGAACATTCTCCACACAAGCAACAATCGCATCGTCTGCATCTTTGAAATTATGCTGTCTCAGAAAAGCGAACAAAGAATGTAGAGCAACAATGACATACCGTTGGAAGAAGATACTGTTGTCCACCAAATCTAAACGACTGAGCTCAGCCGGTAGCTAATTACAAGTCTATATGACGATATGTTAGTGGCAATCATGTGACGTGACATCACAGCCAAAGGGAGATAATTCAGCATTTAACTTCCGCGTATGTTATATTCGTAAATACTAATAACACTATTCAAAACATTTAGAGCATCTGCTGATCATCATCTTTACATGGTAATTTAGACCATACGTATCCAGCTTAGAAATAAATATAATTCCCATCATCAATATTGCCTGAACTGTATTTTCAGAAGTAGTTTCAATGCAGTCAATTAATTACGATCATATACATGAAAATCTTATGCCAAGATTGAAATCTGTGTTATAAGTATCATGTCTATTTTCACATATAACACATCGATGAGATGCTTATGATGATATTACATATTAATCACTGTAAAATAAATTAGATAGAAACGATACACATATTATTTATTTTTTCTTCCTATGAAGCTATCGTTAGCGTTAGGAACCTACAAAGTAGAAACCAACAAACAGTTTACAAATGTCCACATCATACATTTAACTGATTTACAAATGTGTAATCTGATTTTACCATATTTCCTAGATCCTTACATATTTGTACAAATACAAACAATATATTATATTATCTGCCCTTTCACACCCGCCGTGATATTGCTGGAATATTGTCAAAAGCGGCGCATAAGCCATGTCACACACTCATTTCTCACGCAATGTCTCTGCAGCCTACTTGGTTATGAAGAAATCTGAAACCCAACTTCAGCTTCATAAGACAAATATTTTATACCATTCCTAACAACTGATACAGTTCCTAACACCTAAACAGATCCCCTTCTAGTCGTAAGGTAAATAGAGATTATTCGCTGAGCGTGTTTCCGTAAGATAAGTATCATATACAAGAATTAAATACCCAGCGAGGATTTGGCGTGCATAATATATATTTTTATGCTTCACACGTGATATTTGCAACTAAGACGGGAGGGCAATAATGTCGTTATAATACAATGTATTTCTTATAAGAATATGTTAAGACCTATCCTCACTCATTTAAGTAAGTTTGGAAACCGTGTTTGAATAAAATGATGTTCGTTAGCATGTAAACTCATCTGTGTTATAGTGCCAGATAATCTACTGAAGCACCTACACATCCAGGAACCCCTAAAATAATACCAATAGTATGTCACGACTTTCTCACACACACGCACGCACGCACGCACGCACGCACGCACGCACGCACACACACAATGTGTTGTCGTCGGGTAATAACAATAGCGGATCTATATATACACTCCAAGCCGAAAATAACAATAATGTGTAGTTAATGATATATGAACATCTGAAAATTTAAAATAATATTTATGATATGTACCATAAGGATGTGACTAACATTAAGTCCCTGAATTGACGTTCTGTTATTTAAAAATATATATCTGCAGCAAAAATAATACGATCCAAATAGATCCCAGAACAAGACTTAATTTCCTAGAACTTAGGCAATCTAGACTTGAGTTGGATTCATTTCTTAATTTATTCTCTGGGGTATGGGAGATAGACCACATAAGTGCAGATACAACAATGCTAGGCTCAGAATGGAGAAGCTGCTTGTCCTTTTAATTCGTAATGGCGCAACACCATGTGACAAATTGTCTTAATCTTTCAAACTGCTCGATATCTCTCATTAGGAATGAAAATAACTGGGTATTTTCCGTAACGTGCACACAAATTGCTTGGTAGAAGCTGAAAATATTTTTGGTTTAATTGTAATTCAAAATCAATTAAATAGCTTTGGAGAGCATGTAGGGTTCGGTTCGCACAGTCAAAAATACAATTAATTTTAAATCTCATAAGGAAAAGAACGGAATTTTAAGTTATGCTGCTAAAATATAGCAACATGACAAATGATATTGCTTTCGCATATACATATTGAACATATAATGTTGACAACTGTAAGATAATGGTCCCACATACTTATTGTCAGCAGCACAGATTGTTCTGTATTGCCTTTGGGGTGCAGGCTAAAACGGCACCTCAGCAAAACGTCACCGATTTCTCTGGCGAAAACGGCACCGCATTTGGCGAAAACGGCTACAATGTGTCGGGCGAAAACGGAACCTTTGTATGCTTATTATTCTGTTTAAACAATATTCGAAAGTGCAAGTATGGTTTGGATTGTTGTTTACCATGTTATTTCAAATGTGATCGGTTGTTTTCTCAAACCTTTAGGGTTTTCACAGATATGTGATAACTATTCGTCTTGCAAGTAGTACTACAGCACCTGCCCAAAACTTCCGGTATATTGTGTGGCCAACGTGCAGCTATCGTAATTGCTGCATCCAGACACTGGGTTCATACTCCGCAAGTTTTCCAAAGAAAGCACCGTTGAGTGGTTAGTGTTAGTACAGACGAAGCTTTATTGTGCACTGTTAACAGCCAGTGAAAATGGACATAGGTGAGCAAATTGATAGAGAGCTTGCACGGGCCGAGAAAGATGGCGACAAGAGAAAAGACAAGGACCCAAAGGAGAAGAAAAAAGACCGGGAACGGTCAAAGTCTCGAGAAAGGAAACCAAAATCTCGACACAGATCGAGAAGTAAGGAGAGGCGCAGGAGTAGATCTAGGAGCAAAGAACGCCCAAAACGCCGAAGCAGAAGCCGCGAAAGACGTCGTAGCCGAGACCGACACAAGAAGAAGTCGCGCTCCAGATCTCGGGAGAAGGACAGTAAGAGAAGTTATAGGAGTAAAAGAGATGATGACAAGTTAAAGAAGGAGCCACACAAAGATAAAGTCGTTCCTCTGTCACTTGAAGAGTTGCTTGCTACAAAGAAGGCAGAGGAAGAAGCCCTAAGTAAACCCAAGTTTTTGACCAAGGAGCAAAGGGCAGCAGAGGCTTTGAAGAAAAGACAGTTGGCAGTTGAAGAACAGAGGAAAAAGACAGATGAAGAAAGAAAGAAGCAAATAGAATTCATCAAGACTGGTAAAATGGCACAAGAGAGTGCTTATGAGAGAGAAAGAAGAGAGCGTCGTGAGAGAAGAGAAAGGGAGATGGATGGGGAAGATCGGAATAACGTAAGAGAGAATAAAGACAAGGAAAAAGAAGTTTTGGCTATTAAGGAAAGGTACCTTGGACTAATCAAGAAGAAGAAGCGTGTTAGGAGATTAAATGATCGTAAGTTTGTATTTGATTGGGATGCCGGAGATGATACATCTACAGACTATAATGCTTTGTATAAGGAACGTCATGCTGTTCAGTTTTTTGGCAGAGGAAACACTGCCGGCATTGACATCAAGGCCCAGAAGAAAGATCAGTCTAAATTTTATGGTGATCTTTTGGAAAGGAGACGAACTGAAGCAGAAAAAGATCAGGAGAAGAGAAGACTGAAAAATGTTGCCAAGAAAGAGGCTAAACAGAAGTGGGATGACCGTCATTGGTCAGAAAAGTCTTTGGAAGAGATGACAGAGAGAGATTGGCGTATTTTTAAAGAGGACTATAACATTAGTTGCAAAGGTGGAAGAATTCCTCCTCCTCTGAGATCTTGGACTGATCCAAGAATGCCTAAAACAATCATTGAAGTTATTGATAAGGTTGGATACAAAGAACCCACTCCAATCCAGATGCAAGCAATTCCCATTGGTCTACAGAACAGGGACATTATTGGTGTTGCTGAAACTGGTAGCGGTAAGACAGCTGCTTTCCTCATTCCACTGTTGGTTTGGATTCAAGGATTGCCCAAGTTGGAGAGAATGGAAGATGCTGACCAAGGACCATATGCTATTATTCTGGCTCCAACACGTGAATTGGCTCAACAGATTGAAGAAGAATGTGTTAAATTTGGAGAGTCACTTGGAATAAGAACTGTCACAGTTATTGGAGGTATATCTCGTGAGGAGCAAGGTTTCAAGCTACGTTTGGGTTGCGAGATTGTCATCGCTACCCCAGGTCGTCTCATTGATGTTCTTGAGAACCGTTACCTTGTTCTCAACCAGTGCACCTATGTTGTGATGGATGAAGCTGATCGTATGATAGACATGGGTTTTGAGCCTGAAGTGCGTAAAATCCTTGACTTCCTGCCAGTGACTAATGAGAAACCAGACACAGAGGACGCTGAAGACGATGAGAAGATGTTACAGAATTTCAACTCCAAAAAGAAATACCGTCAAACAGTCATGTTTACAGCTACCATGCCTCCTACAGTGGAGCGTCTTGCACGTACCTTCTTGCGTCGCCCAACTGTGGTCTACATTGGTACAGTCGGTAAACCGGTCGAGCGTGTGGAACAGATCACATACATGGTGACTGAACAGCAGAAGAGAAAGAAGTTGCTGGAGATTCTCTCGGCAGGAATAGAACCACCAATTATCCTCTTCGTCAATCAAAAGAAGGGAGCCGATGTTCTGGCCAAGTCCCTGGAAAAGATGGGCTTCAATGCTGCAACACTTCACGGAGGCAAGGGCCAAGAACAGAGAGAGTTTGCCTTGGCAAGTTTGAAAGGAGGATCCAAAGACATCCTGGTTGCAACTGACGTGGCTGGCAGAGGTATCGACATCAAAGATGTGTCACTGGTTCTCAATTACGACATGGCGAAGAATATTGAGGACTATACCCATCGTATTGGTCGAACAGGCCGAGCTGGTAAGAATGGTGTTGCAATTTCCTTCCTCACCAAGGATGACTCTCACCTCTTCTATGACCTGAAGCAGGTCATTCTGAGCAGTCCTGTGTCCACCTGTAGCCAAGAGCTGGCCAATCATCCTGAATCACAGCACAAGCCTGGACATATTGTACAGAAGAAAAGGAAAGATGAAACACTCTTCATCAAATGAACAGTGAATTAATTGACAAAGACCTTTGTCAAAACATATGACTGAATTTATATGTTTCAACAGCAGAGAGGAAGGCTGAAACATGTTGTATGATAAATCTGTTTTGATTTCATGAAAATACCTACTTGCTTGCAGTTAAGAGTGCAAGAAGTGCATAAACATTATTAAAGTAGAGATCAGCATAAGATATGTCAGATTTTATTAACATGATGATATGAAATTTCCACATTACTTCCATATTTGTTGGTACGACCAAACAGATCATTGATAATAATGTTTGAATAGAAAAACATCAGTTTGGGCCAAGCATCTATTACAAAGGTAGTTTCCCCTTTAACATGTTTGATTTCATTTTAATGGTCAAAATTCATAAACAGCTTCGAAGCCATAATATATGTTTCCATGTACCCACAGGTGACTTGTGAACAGACGATCCAGTTGCAATGCATTTTTTGTATATTGTTATTCAGTCTGTCCATCAGCCTTCCATTACTGGAGCATTTGGAACTCCAAAACAGTTAAATATTTCTTGTTGAAACATCCTAAGAGTGCAGTCTGGTTGGGAACTGGTGCCTTTTGATGATGGGGGATTTTTATTCTTTTTATTTTGTTTTGTTTTCATGATTTTTCATGATGAAAACAGGTTTGTTTTCCATATCCGGAGAACCCTTAAACCATTAATAATTTCTTGTTGAAACTTACTATATAGATCAGTGTAGTGATGAACTCGTGCCTATTGAAGATTTGGGATTTTTTTGTTTTAATTTTTTATTTTTTATTTTTTTTTATGACAAGTTGAACTTATACTGAAAATTGAGAGTAGTGCTCGTTTCCGGAACAAAACTCCAAAACATTGACGATTTCTAGATGAAACATGCTCAACAAGTAAAACTAGTGGTAAACTGGTGCCATTTGAAGATTTGGGGATTTTGAAAAATACTGAACAGTATTATTTGTTTCCTCACTGAACCAAAAGTGGGTTATAAGTAGCTCCATTTCCAAATTGCACCAGACTCTTGGTTTTTATAAGGTGCCTTGATTGTCAGGATGAGTTACCCAATCCATGTTGATCAATGTATTCTTTATCTCATAGGGACGGTCGGGTAGCCTTGTGGTTAAAGCGTTCACTCGTCACGCCTAAGACCCGTGTTCGAATCCCGACATGGGTACAATGTGTGAAGCCCATTTCAGGGGTCCCCTGCTGTGATATTGCTGGAATATTGCTAAAAGCGGCGTAAAACCAAACTCACTCACTCACTCACTTTATATCATAACATGATAGTGATGGAGAAAAAAGCTCACTGATCGTCAATGGAAGTTTGAAGTTAACTTAAATGACGACTCTGAGCATAACTGAAAGGATGTTTGTATCGAGCATGAGACAGTTTTATCGATAATCTGTGTTCCTTATGTATGTGTGTCAAACATATTGGAGCCAGGAAAATTATCATTGATGTTGGAAATTGCAGTCTAAAAGGAATGGTTGTATATATGAAAGTATGATATTTAGTGCTATTATGGTTGTTTATGAATTCAAGTTAAATCTTTGTTTTTGTGAGTGCTGTTATGGATACAGAAATACCAACTGGCAAGGTGTTAAGCTGTTATAATGCTTTTGCATGATGCTCCATGTGCTGACCATATTGCCGGTGTCTGAATGGTTCACATTATGCTGGTCTGTGTACATACATGCTTACATGGGAACAACTTAGAACAGTCTCACAATAGGTTTATTGTGCTCAGTACATTCTCAGCTAGAGAACTGTCCTATAGATTAAGTGCTACTGGCATTTTTCTGTTATCTGTAACAATGACATTCAGTAAATTAAAGTACTGTAGAAAATTTACGGTTTGTCATTACTTTGTTGTTGTGAAGAGAGGGACTTCTTACAACTTTAAAATTTTCAAGGGAATTTCTGACTTCACAGGAGCTGTCGGAATATTGCTTACAAACCAAAGTGCTAAGGTTTACACTGTACACTTTCACTGGAAATCATCAAATATCAAAGTAAAGTGGTGGTGAGGTGTGAAGGGGTTTCAAGTCACATTCCAGATTATTTCACTTACATGCGCAGTGCATGCATGTGTATGCGTGTGTGGCTACTTGTACTAGTCACGACTTAAGTACAAGACAGATATCAAGCGTGAGATTGACATGGATACCCTACCCAAACTGGAACAGACTCTGACCAGTCCTTGTATGCCGAGATCCAGGCGGGATAAGTTATCAGGGATCGAACCACCGACCTTCCACTCTCCGGGCAGGTGCTATAGCCACTACACAAATTAGTAAATTGAGTAGAAGTGTTTCGATGCAATAAAATGGCAGGAATTTCAATGAAAGTTTGGTCAGTGCTATAAAATAAATAACGTCTGACCAGAATAATTGAAATCAAGTGTAAGGGATAACCAAACCTTTCCATTTTAAATTCAAAGTCCGATGATATGCATCTCCAGAACAGAATTCTGAATCAATCTGGGAATGGCAGCCAATATGAAAATGTCTCTTTTGTGTCTGTTACTAAGCCATTTTTTTCACATCGCTGATAAGGTGTCATCACATCCCTGATAAGGTGTCATCACGTCCCTGATAAGGTGTCATCACATCGCTGATAAGGTGTCGTCACATCCCTGATGAGGTGTCATCACATCGCTGATAAGGTGTCACCACATCCCTGATCAGGTGTCGCCACATCCCTGATCAGGTGTCGCCACATCGCTGATCAGGTGTCATCACATCACTGATAAGGTGTCATCACATCACTGATAAGGTGTCATCACATTGCTGATAAGTGGTCACGTTGTTGATAAGGCGTCGTCACATCACTGATAAGGTGTCATCATATTGCTGATAAGGTGTCGCCACATCGCTGATCAGGTGTCATCACATCCCTGATCAGGTGTCATCACATCACTGATAAGGTGTCATCACATCCCTGATCAGGTGTCATCACATCGCTGAAAAGGCGTCGTCACATCACTGATAAGGTGTCATCACTAATCACTGATAAGGTGTCATCACATCGCTGATAAGGTGTCGCCACATGCTTGATCAGGTGGCATCACATCACTGATAAGGTGTCATCACATCGCTGATAAGGTGTCACGTTGTTGATAAGGCGTCGTCACATCACTGATAAGGTGTTATCATATTGCTGATAAGGTGTCGCCACGTCACTGATCAGGTGTCATCACATCACTGATAAGGTGTCGTCACATCCCTGATAAGCTGTCATCACATCGCTGATCATGTGTCATCACATCCCTGATGAGGTGTCATCACATCGCTGATGAGGTGTCACGTTGTTGATAAGGCGTCGTCACATCACTGATAAGGTGTCATCACATCACTGATAAGGTGTCGCCACATCGCTGATCAGGTGTCATCACATCCCTTATCAGGTGTCATCACATCACTGATAAGATGTCATCACATCGCTGATAAGGTGTCACATTGTTGATAAGGCGTCGTCACATCACTGATAAGGTGTCATCATATTGCTGATAAGGTGTCGCCACATGCTTGATCAGGTGGCATCACATCACTGATAAGGTGTCATCACATCGCTGATAAGGTGTCACGTTGTTGATAAGGCGTCGTCACATCACTGATAAGGTGTTATCATATTGCTGATAAGGTGTCGCCACGTCACTGATCAGGTGTCATCACATCACTGATAAGGTGTCGTCACATCCCTGATAAGCTGTCATCACATCGCTGATCATGTGTCATCACATCCCTGATGAGGTGTCATCACATCGCTGATGAGGTGTCACGTTGTTGATAAGGCGTCGTCACATCACTGATAAGGTGTCATCACATCACTGATAAGGTGTCGCCACATCGCTGATCAGGTGTCATCACATCCCTGATCAGGTGTCATCACATCACTGATAAGATGTCATCACATCGCTGATAAGGTGTCACATTGTTGATAAGGCGTCGTCACATCACTGATAAGGTGTCATCATATTGCTGATAAGGTGTCGCCACGTCACTGATCAGGTGTCATCACATCACTGATAAGGTGTCATCTCATCGCTGATAAGGTGTCATCACATCACTGATAAGCTGTCATCACATCGCTGATAAGGTGTCATCACATCCCTGATGAGGTGTCATCACATGGCTGATAAGGTGTCATCACATCCCTGATGAGGTGTCGTCACATCCCTGATAAAGTGTTGTCACATCCTTCATAAGGTATCATCACATCGCTGATCAGGTGTCATCGCATCCCTCATAAGGTGTCATCACATCAGTGATAAGGTGTCATCACATCAGTGATAAGGTGTCGTCACTTAGCTGATAAGGTGTCGTCACATCCCTGATGAAGTGTCATATCATCGCTGATAATGTGTCTCACTTTGCTGATAAGGTGTCATCACGTCGCTGATATGTTGTCGTCACATCAGTGATAAGGTGTCATCACATCGCTGATCAGGTGTCATCGCATCCCTCATAAGGTGTCATCACATTACTGATAAGTTGTCATCACATCGCTGATAATGTGTCGTCACATCCCTGATCAGGTGTCATCACATCACTGATAAGGTGTCGTCACATCCCTGATCAGGTGTCATCACACCACTGATAAGGTGTCGCCACGTCACTGATAAGGTGTCATCACATCACTGATAAGGTGTCGTCACATCCCTGATCAGGTGTCATCACACCACTGATAAGGTGTCGCCACGTCACTGATCAGGTGTCATCACATCGCTGATAAGGTGTCATCACATCGCTGATCAGGTGTCATCACATCGCTGATAAGGTGTCAGCACATCCCTGATAAGGTGTCATCACATCCCTGATGAGGTGTCATCACATCGCTGATAATATGTCTCACTTAGCTGATGAGGTGTCGTCACATCCCTGATAAGGTGTCATCACACCACTGATCAGGTGTCATCACATCCCTGATCAGGTGTCATCACACCACTGATAAGGCGTCACATCACTGATAAGGTGTCATCACATCACTGATAAGGTGTCATCACATCGCTGATAAGGTGTCGCCACATGCTTGATCAGGTGTCATCACATCACTGATAAGGTGTCATCACATCACTGATAAGGTGTCATCACATCGCTGATAAGGCGTCGTCACCACGCTGATAAGGTGTCATCACATCGCTGATCAGGTGTCATCACATCGCTGATAAGGTGTCATCTCATCGCTGATAAGGTGTCATCACATCACTGATAAGCTGTCATCACATCGCTGATAAGGTGTCATCACATCCCTGATGAGGTGTCATCACATCGCTGATAAGGTGTCATCACATCCCTGATGAGGTGTCGTCACATCCCTGATAAAGTGTTGTCACATCCTTCATAAGGTATCATCACATCGCTGATCAGGTGTCATCGCATCCCTCATAAGGTGTCATCACATCAGTGATAAGGTGTCATCACATCAGTGATAAGGTGTCGTCACTTAGCTGATAAGGTGTCGTCACATCCCTGATGAAGTGTCATATCATCGCTGATAATGTGTCTCACTTTGCTGATAAGGTGTCATCACGTCGCTGATATGTTGTCGTCACATCAGTGATAAGGTGTCATCACATCGCTGATCAGGTGTCATCGCATCCCTCATAAGGTGTCATCACATTACTGATAAGTTGTCATCACATCGCTGATAATGTGTCGTCACATCCCTGATCAGGTGTCATCACATCACTGATAAGGTGTCGTCACATCCCTGATCAGGTGTCATCACACCACTGATAAGGTGTCGCCACGTCACTGATAAGGTGTCATCACATCACTGATAAGGTGTCGTCACATCCCTGATCAGGTGTCATCACACCACTGATAAGGTGTCGCCACGTCACTGATCAGGTGTCATCACATCGCTGATAAGGTGTCATCACATCGCTGATCAGGTGTCATCACATCGCTGATAAGGTGTCAGCACATCCCTGATAAGGTGTCATCACATCCCTGATGAGGTGTCATCACATCGCTGATAATATGTCTCACTTAGCTGATGAGGTGTCGTCACATCCCTGATAAGGTGTCATCACACCACGATCAGGTGTCATCACATCCCTGATCAGGTGTCATCACACCACTGATAAGGCGTCACATCACTGATAAGGTGTCATCACATCACTGATAAGGTGTCATCACATCGCTGATAAGGTGTCGCCACATGCTTGATCAGGTGTCATCACATCACTGATAAGGTGTCATCACATCGCTGATAAGGTGTCACGTTGTTGATAAGGCGTCGTCACCACGCTGATAAGGTGTCATCACATCGCTGATCAGGTGTCATCACATCGCTGATAAGGTGTCGTCACATCCATCATAAGGTGTCGTCACATCCCTGATGATGTGTCATCACATCGCTGATAATGTGTCTCACTTAGCTGATAAGGTGTCGTCACATCACTGATAAGGTGTCGTCACATCACTGATAAGGTGTCATCACATCCATCATAAGGTGTCGTCACATCCCTCAAAGGTGTCGTCACATCCCTGATATGGTGTTGTCACATCCCTCATAAGGTGTCGTGACATCCCTCATAAGGTGTCGTATAATGACATTGATTGTTGCTCATGCTTTCAGTCACTGGTTTGCGTGGCCCAGCTTCAGTCACTTGTATCTGTGTGACCTTAAACAGTGTTCACTCTCTGACCCCAAGTAAACTGTCCCCCGTGTATGTTCGGGGGAAGAACCAGTACCCAGCAATCCCTGGTGTTGGTATGCACCAGCTTATGGGAATTGCATGGCTGCAGTTTGTGACCTAGCTGTTTGTTCCCGGGGGAAGACACGACTTTTTGATAATGCAGTCATCTAGTTTCAGTTACTTCACCCAGACTTAAATATTTA